GTATATGCTTCAGGTTACAGATCCAAATAGTGCCAACACTTGAAGTGGGGAGAGGAAATATATTTTTACCCAAAGCTTTGGTCTTTGCGTGGCCTTTGTGACGTTTGCTGTGTAACAGTGTGACAGGAGGGTCACCCGTCACCCTCTGCCTTCCCAGCAGGTCGTTCTGTGCCTTTGAGGTGCCTCTGTGGGCTCTTGCTGGTGTTTGTCAGTCCCTTCTTGTGGTGTTGTGTGGGTGTTCCCTGCCTCAGCCGGTGTCTTGGGGAGCTCAGGCATCCCCGGTGGAGTTGGTGTGTGTGGCACCTCCCCAGCGCACTCCCTCCTTCATGACTTACTTTAAAATGTTGTTCCTCCTTTATCCCCCCCTCTCTCACCCCTTCATTTCAATTCTGAACCTCTGTTTCTTTTCTCTTCTGTTTTTTCTCTTTTTCTGTAGCTTCTTCTTTATGTAACCGTCACCTTGCCAAAGCCCCCACACCCCCTCTCCCGGTGGGCTGTCGGGCACTGGAAGAGCCTGCGGCTACGGGCAGCCCTGCCAGGAGAAGAGCCATCTCATTCCTCCATCTCGTCCGCCCTCCTCTCCTCCCCTCTTGTTCCCTCCCGTGCGCTGTGCTGTGTGTCTGTGCGGGATCTGTCGCTCCCAGCGCGGCTCCGACAGCGTCCAGGCTTCCCGGGCTGCCAGAGGTAACGGCCAGAATGGCCCACGTTGCACTGGGGTGGTTGGATTTCTTTCCTCCCTCCCCATTTACTCACCTTTTGCCATAATATGCACACGTTGCTGATGACAAATAGCGACAGACTGGGGGTGAGTGTGCGTAGCTGGAGGGTTTCGTTTCTGCCTCAAGTCTGGCTGCTTTGGATACCACGGCTTCATCCCAGGGCCATCCTGTGCTGCTCTGACACGGCTGGAAATCGGTCTGTGGACCCGGGAATGTTCTCCGTGTGTCACTGTGTGAAGTGGGGATGGTGGATGCCGCACCCTGTGGTGCTGATGGAGCCTGTTCTGGACAGCCAAGGCCTTATTTTCTGGCTGATGTAGCAAAGTAGGGTTTTCTTGTACAGCCGAACTGCACTGACTTGTACTTAGATCGAGGGCTTCGCTTTGTTTTCATGAAGCCTAGTTAGCAATTATTTTTTTAGCGGTCCTGAATGTGGGCAAGTTGTTAAACTTTGTACCTTGTTTATTTGAAATTGAATTCAGTCAAAAAGCTGGAGAAGTGCCAAAGGACTGGTTGAAGGTAAAAACAAAGCCTGTAAGCGTGGTGTGTAGTGATCTCCAGCTGGTTTGGCACAGAGGGAAGGAGGCAGCCTGAGCTTCTTGGGATGTTTTTTCCTGTGGAGTGATGCACTTTTATTTTTAACCGAATACTAGTGACTGAGTCTTTGCATCTGTGAACCTTAATCAAGGAATTCCCCTCCTTTAACTGGGCAATGGTCTAGGTTTGGCCTCTCCCCTGTGTGATGTGCAGGCTGCTGGGAGGCTCTGCTGAAATCTGCTGGGGGTTTTTTTCAGAAGCACAATATTTTGCAGCACTTTCCAGTGACGAGGGTCAACTCCCTCCAGCTGGGTGGAAGGAAAACTGCTCGTCCTGGAAATCTTTGCAACCAGCCAAGTGACTTTATAGATAGTCAGAAAGGTTGTGAAGTGTTTGGCCTCGTGTGTGTGGTGTGCTGATTTGCCTGGTGTGTAACTGGCCCTGCTGAGCACTGCTCAGAGCGCAGGGCTATCAATATCTGCACAAACGTAGCTTGGGACAGCATTTGCATTAGTACCAAACCCAGAGCCTGCAGAGGTCTCAGGTGGTACCTGCTCTCCTGCCACCAGTGCTTCCCTTGAGATGGCCAGATCTAGGAAGCTGTGCAGCTCTCCAACTGTTATGTTTCTCTCATTCCTTGGACTTCTTTGTTATATTTAAAAACTGTAGGATGGCCTTATGTGGGAGTAGGAGTCTGCAAGTTGCTCTCAAGACCATGGTTTCTGGGGCATTTCTTCTGCCCCTGGGAGGTGCTGGGCTGGACTGGGGGAGGTGGTGGTTCATCCCCTGCAGGGGCTCAGCTCTGGGTGACCCACCTGTAGTGCTGCTGCGGCAAGAAGGTTAGAAGAGGGGTAAAACCCTTTTTTCCCTGGTGGCTTCTGAACTCCAGATGGGATTTTTTTTAAAGCTTAATCTGAAGAGAAGCACAAACCAAATACCAACACTTACACAGACTGCCTTTATTTTGCAGCTCTATAAGAGTTTTGCTGTGCTGGTGCCTTGAGTCCTGCTTGCAGCTCTGGACTTCGTGTCTCCAGAAGGACATAGTGGAGTTAGAGGAGGGCACTAATGGTAAATGGGATGGAGCAGCAGCTGCCAGGTGAGATGGCTCAGTTTGGCCAGGGAAAGGCAGAGGTGTGAGGGAGGATCAGCCCCGCTGTGAGCAGGAGGTGGCAGCACATGTCCTCTAGAGGTCCCTTGCAGCCCAGATTTATTTGTGACTCTTGTTGCAGAGCTCTCCAAGTTATGATGGCGCTGGGTGCCAACCTGCTAAGTCAGCAAGTCGTCACAACTAGACCAGAGGAGTAACTTTTAAGGAGCAGGTACTAAACTTGTGGAATCTGTTGCCTCAGGTTGTTGAGACAGATGGTGTCAGCAGAAGGTTTTGGGGTTGATTGGTGGGGTGTTTTTTTTTTTAAAGGCGAACTCAGGGAGAAGAGATCCATAGGGAAAACAAGGTGAAATGTCTGACAGCCATAATCCAGTGGTGGTGGATACTGGGGCAGAGGGAAGGGAGCAGAAGGCCCTGCTGGTGTCCACAGTGAGACTGAGCTGCAGAGGGTGGTGGAGGTTTCCCCACACCCCGGGGCTGGGGAGGGGATGGCAATGTGCCCTTGGGCTACTGCCTCCGTGGCTGCAGCTGTTGGGGAAGAGGTGCCAGTGTGGGGAGAGGATGGCAACGTGAAACCTGTTGAGGACAGCTCAGAGAGGTTATTTGTCACCAGGTGTCCCCAGCAGAGCTGGGAAAGCCACTTCTTCCATTGGAGGGAGTGGGTATCTGAGTTAAAAATCATGCTTTGGGCTGAACTCTTTCGTGTGGCTGCTGGAGGGGATCTATGCTCTCACATCCTCAGAGCAAACCCTCAGGGGGCTGAGGGAAGCCGGGGGGCTGCAGGGAACAGTGCAGCAAGGGAGGGTTTAGGGCTGAAGGCATTGGAAAGGAGCAGCAGTGCTCTGCTGGGATGTCCCTGCCGTGCCCTGGGGAGCTCCCTGGGCTTGGGGACTGAGCAGTAACATGCTGGGGTTTGTGAATGCAGTGGTGTTATCCCAGTGCTCATGAGGGAGAGGGGGCAACAGGGAGCTGAGCCTGCAACTGGGAATTGGTTTCCTCTCCAGCCAACCATTCACCTGCCCAGTGTGCTGGGCTGGACTCCTGCCCTCGCTGCTTCCGGCCCCGCTGGAGCAGGCAGACCCTGGGCAGGTCCGTGGTGGGGAGCACTGGGATGCTGTGAAGCTTGTGGGAAGGTCACAGGAACATGAGGAGACAAGAGCACATCAGGGAAGGTTTTCCTGTGGGAAACGGGAAGCCCTGGCAGCACTCCAGGCCAGCCCTGTGTTCCGACAGCAAGAGCTGCGTACAAGCCAGCTACTGAAGGTGATGGGGGGGGGCAGCTTGGAGGAGACGTTGTTGCCTGGGGATTTTTTGGGGAGGAAATGTGGGAAGTGGGAAATGGCTTTTGTCTCTGGCCTTGTGGGTTGTTTCCAAATCAGCTGGACCTGCTACATGGGGGAGCTGCTCTTGCTGGGATGACTCATTTTCCAAGGTAAGGCTGTGTCTGAAGGTCACCTCGTTAGCCACGGAGCACTGTAAACGTGTATACCAGTGCAGGCAGCACAGCCAGGGAGCTGCCCGTAGATGTTCAGGGCCTGTGCCAGGACAGCAGGACACTGCAGAGGTGGATCACACAGACCAGGGACAGGGTTTGTGCCTGAGCCTTTTTTCTTGGAGTTGTCTGGCACAAGATCATTGGCGTGGGTTTGTGCATAGTGCCAGCAAAATAAAGTGTCTGTTTCTCTGCAACTCACTGGGGCTGGGGGGTGCCTGTGTTTGGGGCTGGGAGCAGGAAAGCACTCACTTGGCAGTGAGGGAGACCGAGTCCTGCTTCTGCAGGATTTTGCCTCCTGGGAGCTTGCTGAGTCGGTGCTGTGGCTTGTGTGGCTCCAGGCAGCACAGGGAGGCTGGGAAGGGTTCTGGGCGGTGACCCTGTGGTGGGATTGGGCTGTGATGCTCACAAGTGCCTGTGTGCTGATGTGCCAGTGGGGCAAGGGGGGGGAACGTGCCCTTCAACCTGGGAGGGAAGCGGCACATGGAGGGAGAGAAGCCAGCGTAAGTTAACTGGAAAAGGTGTGCAACACACGGTGAGCTGGAAGCAGAGAGCACTGGAGCTGGGGCTCTCCTGCACTGACAGGGTGCCTTGCTGGGGCTGTGCTGCTGACACCCCCAGAGGACTGCACAGCAGTCTGGCTGGAGAAAACCGAGCCACTGGATGAGAAGGTCAGGGTCTGGAAATAGCATAAGGATGGCAGGAAGGGCTGGAAGGGAAGGAAGACACACACCCCTCTGAGAAACATGGCCTGGGGAGGGGTTTTTCAGGACACGAGCAGGAAGAGCTGGAACCTGTGGGAAGGCTCTTGTGGTGGTCTGTGCATGATGAGAAGATGGCACCTTGGAAGGCACAGGGCAGGATGGGCTCCAGGATGGGAGACGGAGCAGTGTTCCAGCCATGCACTTGGCCTGGAAAGGGAAGAGCCAGGAGTGAGGAGCACCAGAGCTGGGCTAAAGCCAGAACCACTGGAGGCAACGAGTTCATGTCGGTGACTCCCCTGGCACCCCAGGGGCTGCCCAGCACCCCCAAAGGCACTTTAAGGCACTTTGTCAGCTGTCTGGCACAGAGCAACTCCCTGGCAGCATCTGGGTAAAACTGATCCAGGTCTCGGATGAAAAGCACAACACCAGACTGGGAATCCAGGACAACTTTCTTTATTGCTACCAGAAGGCTTTCATCAGTACAATGGCTCCAGATACGATACCTTCCTCAGGGCTGTGGAGAGAGCGTACAGTCGGGACAGGGCGTTCTGAGAACGGGGTGTCACAGGGACGAGACAGGTTTAAAGGTCTGACTCTTGGTTAGAAGTTACATGAACACAAAACTCGAGGATCAGGGTCTTTCGTTTTGGTTTTGTGACTGACAGGGACACACATTCCAAACCTCAGGCATCCACAGCCACCCCGGCACCTCACCCAGCAGTGCTGGGAAAAGTGTGGGCAAAACCAGGCTCTGCACAATTCAAAGCTTACACTTCATGGAGAGGGTAAAGCATTGGTGAAAGTTTACACTGAGTGCAACATTTCTCGGTGCAAACAAGAAAAAAAATACCGTTTTGGTTCTAGTGCTAGGAAATGCAGTAACTGCTTTCTGTGTTGGGAGAAGCAAACCGGTGTAACTGGAGAAGTCTCTGTGGGAGGCAGAGCCCCAGGGCCAGCTGCCCTAGGGTTCTTCCAGCGCACCTTCACACTCCTGTGGGCATTACTGAAGTGTGGAGCAGCTTGCGAGAACTGGTTTGGGGTTTTGTTTAAAACCTTTTGTTTAAATCCAGTTTTGCAGTATTATCACATTTAAACACCCAAGTATTAACAAAAGGAAAGAGGGTTTTTTTTGTTTAGAAGGGTGAAAGAAAAAGCTGTGGGGCAGGACAGAACGTCAAGCACAAGACTGGCTGAGAATTAAAAAGAGCAAGCAGAAGGGGAGCGAGGAGCAGGTCGGAATGGGATCAGAGAGGTGTTAGTTGGCTGGGAAACCTGGAACAGCTCTGCAGGGTTGATGTGAGCTCTCAGATGTGGAGAATGGGTTACAACACACAGGAGCAGAAAAACAGTGGAACTGACAACACTAGAAAGGAACAGGTTTTTGCTACTTTTTTTTTTGGTTGGTTTTTGGGTCTTTTTTTAGATTTTTATACTTTTTTGTGGTTTTAAGTGCTTAAATAGTGGAACTATAATTAGCCGCACAAGAAATAAAATTCAAAAGGGGTTGGGATTTTTTTTTCCTGGGGTTTTTTTGTTTTTGTTTTTTTTTTTTTTTTTTTTTGGCTCCCTTCAGTTCAGCCTGACAAGGTATGGCCCTTTCTCCCCCCACTGAGGACACGGGCTGCCGGGTCCGGCGGGGCTCCTGGAGCGGGTGGTGGCACTCGCAGCTACATGACAGACACCGGCTGCAGGGGCGGGCAAGGGGACACGCTGCCCTCCTGCCGCGAGACGTCGGCGCCGCAAACAGAGCCCATGTTCTCCAGGGCCACGACCTCCGGGGCGAGGTCCTCGTTGTAGAGACGCTTGATCCCGTCGTAGAAGTCGTCCACTTCCATCTCTTCCACCTTGCGCTTGGCGGAGGCCTGTTTGCAGCCGCCGGCGGGGGCGGGACGGCGCTGGTAGAGCGCGGCTGTACCTGTGACTGGCGCTTCTGGCCGGCCGTTGTCCTTGGAGAGACCCGGCCCTGGGACAGAGGAGGGCTGGCGGTGGAACGCTCCTCTGTTACAGGTCACCAGGGTCTGCTGGAGGGGACTGTAGACATATACAGAGTTGGGCAGCAGAGAAGGCTGCACAGTGGAAAGGTGATGTGCCACGAGCTCCCGGCAGTGGATCAGCTGCGAGCTGTCCATCTGGAGGGGGAAGACAAGCAAAGGTACCGGCCTTGTGGGATCGCCACCATGGTGGGGAGAGAGCAGGGGCTCCAACAGCACCACCCAGCCATGCAGGAGCAGGACGTGATACAGCACCCCTACCATGATGACCTTCTGGGATACAGGCCCCTGCTCCTTCTTACACCTCATGGGAATAGTGGTGAGGAAGAAGCTTAAAAGATACTAAAGGGTTTCACTGCCAGAGCCTTTCCAGTACTTGTCAGTATGCTGGGAACGAATGCCTGAACCACTGACTAGGAATTTTGCGCTGGTGTGTTATTTTCTCCCTGGTGCAGCAGGACTCTGTGTACATGAGGGCACACGGCTCCCACCTCTGTCACCCACTGGATGTGGTCAGGATGGAACACTGTTCCTCCAGGCAGAAGCCCAGCCATCCCCATACAAGCGTACCAGCAGGCAGCCATTGGCAGCCAGGGATCCCAAAGCCCTGGCTGGCGGGAGCACTGAGCAGGATGTGTCCGCAGTCCCTCCCCGCCCCTCACCTGTGCCTTCTGGAGCAGCTCGATGATGAGAGCCAGCCAGTCGGGGAGCAGCTTCTCCAGCTCCAGGCTGACGATGGCCAGTGCCAGCATGGAGCCCTTGAACTGCAGCAGCTGGAAACAGGCCATGCAGTGCAGCAGCTGCTTGGTGAGCGCTGCCACGTGCTGTGACGGGCTCAGCGTGGGCAGCAGAGCCAGGAGCTGCGGCCTGCTGGACACTGCCATGGCATGGAACTGTGGGGAGACAAGGACAGGAGGCAGCTGGAGGCACCGACCTTAGGAACACCTTGTGAGATGGCTCGGACACACTGGCATCCTCCAGCTTAACCTCGGAGGGATTTCCACACCAGGGGGAAAAACCCAGCACATTGAAGCTTGGTGCAGCCCTTCCAGTGGGACCTGCCTGGCTTCTTTGGCAAGGCTTTTTCATTCAGAAAGTGCTTGTACAGAGGAATTACAAACATCCCAAGGTCTTTGTTCCCCACAGGTAGAATTTTTGTTGAGGTGCTTCTCAACACATTATTTGCGCTGGCAGACACCTGAAAGACCATCAGTAGCCCCTTACTTACAATATGAAGGAAATCCAATGGCGTTGCCATGTGAAGATCCCAGTTCAGTTTATCCAGGATGATCTTCTCCATTCTGCGGATTTCAGCTGGAGAACAACCACAGAAGCTATCCCGAGCCAACACCTTCAGTACTGGAATCCTCTGCAAAAGCCAACACAAATAAAGAACTGATTGGATTGTAATAGAAATCCTACCAAATGCTTCATTCCTGTCCTGGCAAGTGTCAGCCACTGTGTGCAAGCAAAGGCAGGACTGGAAGGACAGATACTCTGACAATGGCAAGGTAGGAAGAACAGAGTTACCTCATCTTCCTCAATGGTCTTTGCAGCGAGGAAGAAGCAGCTGATTGCAATACAGTTGAGGTACTTTGGACGGGCCTGCAGGACAGAAGAGCAGAGAAGTCTCCGTGTCAGCATGATGCAGAAACGATGCCCTGATCCTTCTGGTTGGACATCCCAAGCCCCAGGGTCTCCCTGTGGATCAGCAGGCTGACCTCTAACTGTGCCCTGGCGGTGGCAGGCTGTGCCAAGCACAAATCCATGCTCCGTGACATCAGCTGAGCAGAGATCTGATCTGGCAGCCCCGTGATCGGAATGGGCAGCGCTGGAGTGGAAAGAGCTCGGGCTCAGGCACTGCAGCAGAAATGGGAAGGACTGTCTTGCCTAGGGAAGTGTAACTTGGAAAAACACCACTCAGTTGTTTTGCACTACAGCTTCCAAACCTGTGGCCCAGGGATTAGTGGAGGAGAGCCAGTCCCTTCCATGGGAGATGGTTTAGGCAAGGTAAATGAAATTTGGGTGGGAGAGGGTTCTGTCTGTGGGCTCTGTCCGTGTGACTGTCTTTACAAAGGGCTTCACTCCCACCCTCAGTGTAACAACCACTGGACATGGTCCCCTCCTCCACAGTGGCCAGGGGCGGGGAAAGGCAGAGTCTGTTCCTAAACCTTGGCACAGCTGGAGATGCTGAAAGCAAAGGTAAGTGAAAATCCTGCAGCAAACCTGAAAATCCACTCACAATCTGTACTTGTGCACTCAGGTGTCCAAGAGAATGAAATCCCTTAGGGCAGGACCAGAACTGGGCCCCGCTGAGGGCTAACGAGTGCTGTGCAGTGACACACACCAAGACTGCTGGCTGTGGGTCACAGCCAGTCCCAGCAATCCCAGACTGTGTTCCTGGGGATGGGAAAGCACCTGATAAACAGGAGTTGAGCTGCATCAGAGGAATGAGAGCTTTATGGGAGAGGAGAGCTGGGGGAAGGAGCACAGAGCCCTGATGCTCATGCAGGCTAAGCCCCTTTCCCAATCCCTGCTCGCTGCCTCAAGCACACAGAGGGCTCCTGACTTGTATTCCCATGCTTTCTGTACACGCTCCTTGGCTGCTCCAACTTATTGAAAGAAAAACTGTCCTCGAGGGCATTGGCTGCTGAGGGACTTAAATCTTTCCCATCTCAGCATTTCAGTAAATCAGTTACTTTGGGATCTCCTTAAAAATAAGACCTTCCGTGGCTCGTATGAAAACATGAGCAATATTTATTAATGTTTAAAGAGTGGGTTAATGAATGATGTCACTTGTGTTCTACCAAACTCAGTCACGTTGGAGTGCAAGGGCACAGGCTGGGAATGCATGTTCCTGCTTCCCTTTCCTAAGGGATACAGCCTACCCAACGTGCTCATGGTGAGATGAGACACGTGCAGGTAAGAGAGGGATTTGCCAAGCACAGAATGGTAGCTGAGCAAACACGGTAAGAAATGAACTTCCCAAAGCCTGACCTCACAGCTCCAGGCCAGGGATTCCAGGCTGGAGCAGAGTTTGTTCAGTCACTGGGCAGGTACAAAGCCACAGCCCAGGTAACTCAAAGGGCCAGAGGAACAGCAGGTCTCACTTGCAAGGAGCCCAAGTGCTGTTTTTTACCCCCTTTTTAAGCAGTTTCTATGGTGGAACAGCCTTAAAAACAAGGGGGTTCCTCTGTTCTCCTGTTGGGGAATAGGCTGTGGGTTCAGCACCACAGGAGGGGACACGTGTCACACAGAAGCCTGCACCTGTGTGTGCTTCCCTGTCTCCTTCACACCCACTGGACATCAGCCAAAAGCTGCAAGTCCATCAGCCCAGCTGTAGAGCAGGCAGGCAGGGAACTGCTCCCAGAACAACAGTGGCCTCTGGCTCTATATTCTTTCCCCTCCTTTTTTTTTCTCATTTCCCTGCACCAGCCTACTTGCCAGGCCCAAATCTCAGACTTTTTCTCCCAGCTGGTTCCCTGCTAGTAGGTGCTCCTGGCAATCCGAGTGGAACACATGAGGTGAATGTAGTTAAAACACCTGTGAAATCGAGGTGAGCAGAGACCTTCCCAACACTTGTGTCCGAGGGCGCTGCGCCTCGGGTTGTAGCTGTTTTAACAGTTCGTGGGCACTGCCTTTACCTTCTGAGTCTGTTCAGGGTGAGACTGGGCTCTTGGTATCTCAGAGCCCACCCCAGATGAGGCTCGGGAGCAGCAGGTGCCAGCCTATCCACGGGGAGCAAGGAAGGGGTGTGAGCACCAGGGGGGAAGGAAGAGTTTCCGTCGGACTGCACACACCAACAGCTGAGTGGGGGGTAGGAATCTATTCCAGTTTAAGAATCCACAAATATTTACCTTTACTGCAGCTAAAAACCTGTCCAGGAGGCTGATGGCCAGGGCGAGCGTTTCTGGGTAAAGGTGGAACTGGTACTTGAGCTTGGCCAGCCACTGGATGACCTCATCCCTCTGCCTTGGAGAAATGGCTACATCCTGGGGGAGAGAAAAACAAACTGTTCCTATACACGGGCTGAGCAAGTCCCAAAACACCAAAGGTTTTACCTCTGCAGGAGTCTCTCTGCACGGGAACAAAGCCTTCTTTGGCAAGAGGAGCCTCGAGCCAGCCTCAATCACCACTTTGTTCCCACATTACTTACCTCATCCCAAAAACCTGCCCTGGAAGAGCAAGCTTTCCTTATAGCAACCCCAAACCTCCCTCCAGTGTCACTGTACAGTGGGGATAAGAAGAAGGATGTCTTGTAGTTTCTCATACACTGACAGGCTCAGCTCCAGCTTAGCTCCCAGAGGTTTATTATTTTTTTAACCTCCTCAGAACCATGTGGATGCACAGGAATGCCCCGCTGGAACAAAACCAGCCCAGAGGGGAGGGACCCAGTTGGAGTTTTGAGAGGAAAGGTTTATTTTTTTCTTCAAATTCTGGAGATTTTTTAGCTCAATGTATGTTAAAATAAAGAAAATTGCCAAGAGTGTACAAAAAGCTTTTAGTGGCTCAGTTAACTGGGAACTGGGGTGGAGCAGGTACAGTTTCACCTGCGCTTTGGCTTTGGTGTTCGGTTTAAGTTTTTGGCCCCTGTCCTCCCCATTGATCTGTTTGGACAACAGCTAAATTTCAACCACATGTACAGCTCAGCCATTGACATCAAATCCTTCTGTGTGACCGAGTTCAGAAATATTTACAGTTTTTCCAGAGCCTTTCACATCATCCAAGGAACTGTCTGGTCTCACTCCAGTGGGGATTATTGGGGACGATTAGCAAGGATGTATCCAGAAGCACAAACAGCTGGGTTGCTACTGCCCTCCCAGCAACACCAGGAGAGTGAAGCAGCAGAAATTTAAAATAAAACCACCCCACAGAGATGCAAACCCAATACTTCAGGCTCTGTCTACCACCCAAACACCTACTGTGTACCTTCCACGGAGAGTAACTTGCTTTCTACCAGGGCTTGCTGCCCCTCCTGCCTTGGAGTCCAGCCCAGGTGAAGGCAGAGCTGTAATCGCAGAGGGGCCTCCCTGGGAACACGTGTCACCCCTTGCCATGTTACTGGCAGTGTGACATCTTTACTCTGCACTGAGCTCCCTTCCTGGTGGCACAGAAGGGGTGGGGAAGGTGGCAGGGCTCCAGCCACAGGGCTGGATTCTGGGCTGTGGGACAGCAGGGGCACAGCTGGTGACTGCTGCTCACACGTGTCCCCCAGTTCCCTTGGGAAAAGTACACCAGTCCCAGTGCTGCTGTACCAGGGGTGCCCTGAGGAGAACAAGGGCCTGCCTACCATTCTGTCCCAAGCCCTGATGGTGCCCTGGTGTCACCAGAACTGTCTGGTGATCGAGATGGGCCTCTGCTCTCAGCTGCCACTCAACACTTCAATAAAAAGTACCTGCCATTTTCTCAATTCCAAGAAATATGGTTGTTTCTAAAACTGTTGATGCAGTTTCAGGGTGAAACGTGAGCCCCCCCAGGGGCAGGACACTCGCTGCCAGCAGTGCCCTGCACTCCTCCCAGGAATGCCACTTCAAGGGGTGTGCTGGGAGCACAATGAACACACCACACAGCAGGAGAGTTTATTAAATGCTCCGCTAAAGCTGTTCTGGACACAGAACAGGGACTGAGGGTGTACCTGTGGAGAAAAATGGGCTGAGGAGGGGGTGAAAATGGCACCTGTGGCGCTTCCGCCTGGGGAGGGAGGGCCCTGCCTCAGCAGCATGGGGGCATTTCAACACCACCACAGCCCTGCCCCTTCCATCCCTGGAAAATCCCATTCCTGCTAGATCCGGCAGAAACGGGCATCGGCTTCCACGGCTCCTGGCAGTGTCTGCCCTGGCTCGGCGCTGTTTTCCCTGTGCCTGCCAAAGCAAAAGGTTAGGCCTTCTCCTAAAAACAGCACGGGTGGGAAGGGTAAGAATGCCTCTCATCCTCAGCCCTCCTGAGATCTGCCCTGAGGCCAAAAGGCCCCAGTTCAGCCCCAGAGTGATCTTTACCAGCAAGGCAGTAACACAAACTACACACTCGGTGCCTGTAAGGCCTGTGCTGTGCTTCCCTGGAAGGGAAATGGTTCTTGACCCAAACCCTAAGCGTGTGTAAGATGTAAAATTAAACCAAATGACCCTAAAGCCCCATAGCCCTGTGATGGGAAGGAACAACTGCAAACACCCTCAGCTCGGTGTATGTGCAGCACAAGGAAGGCTCCAAAATTAAACTGACTCCTTAAGAACTACCTGAAGAAGCAAAGGAAAGGAGGTGAGTCTCCAGCTCTTTTCAACATCATCCTACAGAAAGGGTCTACTCCAAATGAGGGAGCAGGAGGCAGGGGGGAATTCCCTCGCACACACAGACAGAGCAGGGAAGGTTGAGCGAGCCCAGTGTAAAAGAGACAGACAGCAGTGGGACCTGGTCCCCCCTGCACCCACAAGCCCTGCTGCTGCTCCTGCTTCCACACGAAGTATCGGGCTCTACTCCCCTCCCTTGGAGGTGTCCCTGTGCCACCCTCAGAATAAAAGTAAGAAAATGCAGCACAGTAACATTAATTAAGCAGCGAGGTCACTGTTCCTTAGTTAATTGAAACTAAAAGCAGCAATGAGACACTCGGTGGCTGAAAGTGAGGAAGTCCCTCTGGGCTGGAAAGCCCAGAGTTCTTGCCTGGTGCAGAGGTACTTTCTGTGTGTGTCCCTTCTGCACCAGATAGGAGGGTCAGGGGACACGACGTGGGTGCAGATCACCTCTAGGAATGCCCCGAGACTTTTGGAATATGCAGGCTAAAATAAACATTATCTGTGAACTCAAACATGACTCAGTTTTATTGCTGCTCTGTCTAGGAAAAACACCTCACCTGATACTGTTTTCCTTCATGTCTGCTGTCCCAGACAGGTGTTTTGCCCTTTCCCCTGTTTGTTCCTGTGTGGCCTCCTGGGGAGTGAGCAGGTGACCTTTATTAGGACTGGAAATAAACTGAGATATTCTGACTCCTCAAGAGGTCCAGAGAAGAAGTGAGAAGACAGGAGGAATGAGCCAGAACAGGAAAGAAAGCAGGCATGACACAAGTGACACTGTTTCTATTAAAAAAAGCCCCAAAACTCTTGGCTCACGCATCCCTGTGCTGCGAAGTTACTCGGTAACATGCAAAAATCAACCTCTGACCAGGCTTTACAGCTTGATTTCTAGCCTTAATCCCATGAAAATTTTGGAATGTCACCTGCATCTTGTATAACTCAAGTGGTGGGGGAAACCAGAAGGGAAAAAAGAAGAAAAAGACCAAATCCATTCAGAAGCATGAGGAGGTTCCAGACTCAGCCCATCTGTTTTTTCAGGCTGAAAAGCCCTTGTGAGACCTGGCTTTGCTATGTTGCACATACCCGGAGCACTGGCCTGCATTTAAAGTAGGGGATGGGAGTTTTCAGACAAAAAGTACAAAGGAAACACAAAATCACATATATTAAACTACCAGGAACAAAGTCCCCAAAAGACTCTGCACCCTGTCCTAAAAATGGAAAGTCTTCCTGTTTCTGTAACTATGGGTTTGTTTCTTCCTTTCAAAGGTCTCAACTGACACATATTTAGAAACTGCATTTGTTCCGGTTTTAAACATTAGAACCGAAAATGTCTCCTCAAGAGTCAAAACTGAAAGTTTCCTCCTGCAAAATCCCCCCGGTGTGTCTCCAGTCAGGCTGTTCAGATCTCTGCAGACGCACTCACGTCTGTCCCTGGCAAACCAGGTGAGCTCATTAAACCTTTGTGCAGCCAGCCCACCCTCGCAGCAGGGAATGGAAAGTTCCACACGCTGCGGGGGGCCAGATCTGATCCACAGAAGACTGCACATTTCCCGACCGTCACGGCAAATAAACAAGTGTCGTGCAAGTGAGGTTTTAGGCTGCTGCAGCTGCTTTCAGAAGGCAGTGGCTGTCAGGGAATCTGACCACCTTCCAGACCTTACAGAAAATGGGGTAATTCACACTGAGCACCATCGCCAAAATGAACGCCGGGGGCACACGGGACAGTTGGAAAAGCTGGGTGTCGTGAACCACAGGAACAGAGAGAATCCTGTGATTCCCCCCAGTGTTCTCAGCTGCCCCGTGGCCTCGCAAGTCTGGATTCCCCCCCAGCAGCAGCAGTGCCTGTGCTTCCTCTCCATCTGACCTTCCTACAGCTCACACACACGGAGCTCTCGCTCCAATTTAGTGATTCCTCGCTGCCAGAAAACATTCAGTAGCACAGCACTTATGTCCATGTCTGAACGGACACGGGGGAAAACAGGAAGAAAAAGGTGACACTAAGACAACAGAGTTTTGGGGGTGGCAATTCCAGGAGCAGAAACCCTTGGGGACAAGCACAGAACAGGGATTGCTGCGAGGTCTGCCTAAGGCAGGTAGGTGGTGGTTTCTGAGCCACCTTCACCAAGTGCCTTGTCCCTGTGAAATCTTCCCCCATGACTCTGGTGTGGTTACACTCTCTTATCCTCTAATCTTATCTCCCTACATTATAATCACCCCAGGAATACTGCCAGCAGGGAGTGACAGCCTGGTTTACCATAAGCCAGAGGCTTAAACTGTATGTGCCCCAAGACAGCCACAGCTACATATGCTTCACACCTCTGACAACCACGTCACTCATTTGGAAACCACAATGTGGATTAAACAAAACTAATACTGAGGCCCTTAAAAATGTATATGCTCCTACCCAACAGCAGCAGTTTCTTGTTTGCCAGACAGAAAAAACAAACAGCACAGGGATTAGCTCTGACAACAGCTGACCTACCTGTATGAACGTTTCCTGTGGCGTAACAACAGCAAGACGGGATCCGAGTCCTTAGTGTGGTTATTTCAGCCCAACCCAGCACCGAAGGAGCAGAAACCCTGTGAGAACCATCCTCACATTTCACAGTTTGTTTTGAACAGAACTCTGTGGAGCGCAGAGCTGCTTCTGGGTGCACATGTGAGACACGCACCTCCTTCCAAAGGAGCACAGGCCCAGCTCAGGCTGGGTGAGGCCGTGAGCAGCCTGCTCCAACCTCCCTGCTGCACAAGTCGAGCAGGGGCTTGGACTACGGAGCCCCTGCGGTCCCTTCCACTCCGAATTTTCCTCCAGTCCTATGAGAACATTCCTAACTGGAACAGGCCAGCGCCTGGCTCTGGTTCCCTTGACACGAGCTTAGACCCTGCTCCATAAATAGCCCTGCTGGAGTCAGTGGGGTTCTTCCTGGAGCCGTGCCTTTCCCAAGTCAGATCAACACTGTTATTAATGAACTAGTCCAAGAAATGGAGCTGCTTTTAAGAACTGTTGCGAAGTTGGTGCCCAGTAGAAATGGGCACTAATAAACCACACACTTTGTAAAATTAATTTAATTGAGACAATTAAGATAATGTCTGTATGTGCTTTCAGAGGTGTACCACTGTGTGCTGCGCAGGGTGTTCTGCACCCCCGGGGGCAGGTGTGCCCCTCAAATAAAGGGGGAATCCCTCCCTGGAGAGACCAATTCCCCAGGTAAAGGTAACCCCTCCTGAAAACACCTCCAGTTGTTCCCATACCAACACACCCAGGACAGCCTCCTGCCTTTGCTGAGATCAATGATGTGAAGAAGAGATATTACCTGATTGGGCTGAATTTTCGGCACATGTGCTTTCCACATTTGAGCTTCCCTAGAGATTGCCGTCTCCAGAAGGAGAGACAACCTCTGGCTCTCCAGGGGTCCTGAAAACTTCATGGTAACCCTTGGATCCACCTGCCACCCAGCTGGATACAGCTACCTGCAAAACCAAAGACAGCCTGATGAAACACTGAGCCAAAGGCAGCACAAAGGGGACTACAGCTGCAGGAAACAGAACAGGCTCATCTGGGACACGCAGGGATCGCTGCTTGGCAAACCTGCCCACGGAAACCCAACCCAGGTGGCTCAGATTTGGACAAAGCTGGGCCAAAATCACCCACAGGTCTCCAATCCCTCTGTGGGCTGCAGATTCCTGTCACACTGAGGTTTTCTGCAAGAGCTCTCCCACCTCAGCACTGAGAGGTGGGAGAGGCTGCTGGCAAATCCATGAGAGAGGGAGGAGCTGCACAGCAAATACAGAGGGGATTTCAGCAAGCTCTGTACAAATGAAGATTCAAGGTGCTTTCCCAGAGCTAAGGGAAACCTTAAAGACTGATAAGGAACAAATATTGTTCTTCATTCACATATCCTGCACCAGGTATAAAACCACATCCAGTACCACTTAAAGCCCATCAGGTTTTAAGTGGCAAATAAACGTCAAGGCCCTCAGTCCTGAAAAACAACTCCTTTTATTTTAGATTTTTATAAAACAAATGCTTCTCCATGAACAAGGGAGAGGCTGTACTGGGTAGCCATACCCCTACACAAGGTTTCCAGGCATCAATTGAACGACACAAGGTTTTCCAGCTAGAGGGAACACCTTGAATCCAGGATTCCTGAGCAGGGCTCCAGAAGGTCTGCAGTGTGTCTCACAATCACCTCCCACCAACCCCCAAAGGGCCAGTGTGGGCTGAAAAATCCCTATTAGAAGTTCCTCCCTTGCCCAGGGGGATACTCTGCCTGGGGAAGCGAAACTCCAGAACCTCCAACCTCACGTTATTTATGCGCATTTAGTCATTTCTGCATTTTTTTTTTAAACCTGGGGCTGATCCCGAGGACACTCACTGTAAATGGGGCCAAGGGGAAACAGGGCTGCACATTCACAGCCTCCCTCAGCTCCTTCCCTCCGGGGCTTCATGAGCATCTCATTATCCTCCCATCAGACACCACAGGTTTTCCTGTGAGCTGGGCAGGTTCCCAAAGGCCAGATCCCCCACTGCCTCCAAAGCCACCAGCACTTCCAAAGGAGGGGTAAAGCCTTGGGAAATGAGCATGGCACTGATGGAAAAGAGCAGTTCAAATTACAAGGAACAGGTGAAATATGTTGTTCCCTTCGGCAGAGAGGGGCGGAGCTGGGGGACCCTTCCCACCTTTCAAGTCCAGAGCCCCAAAAAGGGGTTTCTCCAGGCCTGTGCAGGGAAGAAGATGGGTGATTTACCTATTTATTTATTATTTAACTGAGCCTGCAGGTCGCCAGCTGCTACATCCCCGGTAACGCTACCTGGGTCACATCCACCAGTCAGCTACAGCCTCTCAGGACACACCTGGAGAAGAGCCGAGAGCTGCACCAGGTGAAATATGTGCCTGGAGAAACAGGACCAGGTCAGGACCAGAGCCACAGCTCAGCCAAGCCAGCACAGAGGCCAAAGCCGGGCCCAGTGCTGAGCACTGAGAGCGAGGAGACCAGGAGCTCCTGGCTGCACGCTCATTAGGAAAAAAGCAGGAGCTATATTTAGCCCAACCATGTCTCCTAATATAAAATATTGATAGTCTTTTCTTGGTTTTGCAGGAAGAGAGTAATTAGCCACCACTGGAGAAAACAGGAAAAATTTCAGGCCAAAGTGAGCATCCTCAGGCACTGCTTTTTTCTGCGGTGACTGGCAAACATTCCCACTGTATTTACAACACAAACGGGTTTCAGAGGCCTCTGAGCCCAGAAAAGCACTTTTAGTCATCCTGATCCCTCTGGAGGTTGTCCCTGTGCTGCCTGGGCCAGTCAGTGGCCCCAGCAGAGAGCTCAGGGTGTTCCTGGAGCACCCTGACATAGCAGTGAGCAGCGCTGCCAGCTCCTCTTGAGCTGCCGAGGGGAAAAGAGAGGGGAAAATAACCTTTCCTTTCTGAACTAGGGACGTAATTCAATTGAGGGCTGAGGCCTCATAACCTTTGTAAGGGAAAAAAGAAGAGGACTGACGTGCTTGAAAGTTTCCCTTGGAGCAAGAGCGGTGCACAGACTTTTCCAGCACAGAGAGCAGGGCCAGGCAACCGGCCAAGCACCCCCAGGCTGAATCCAGTTTGCATCTCCATTTACACAGCTCTCCATCAGATACATGCATGCCATTTGGAAAAAATGCCAGCACATGTATGCAGGCTTCCCAAAACACAAGGGAGGCACGGCAGAGCGGGATCCCAGAGGATGAGAAATGGGAGGGCCGGCACAGCTTCCCAAAATCCAGCACAGGGAAGTCGTGTGAAGATCACAGAGGGACAGGAGTCTCTTCTCTCTGCTCAGGGCAGGATGATAAAACCTGGGCAGTGCAGAAAAGCAACACCAGCAGCACAGATCCCTGTCAGTGCGGCAGCACCTCTCAGAGAACAGCAGGAGGGTGCTCCAGCCAAAAGCTTCCCTCGTTTTTCTGAGCCCACAGCTGGAGGAGCTGCCCAAGCTGGGACAGCCACCATGAACTAACTCACCCCAGCTTTCTGCTTCTGTTTCACTGATTCAAAATTAAACTTTAGCTCCACGGTGGTGGCTTTTTGTTTGGCCTTTTTTTTTTTCTCCTTTGGTCACTTTGGGAGTTTTTAAACCACTGCTCACACAGTGCCTATGGTTTCTTAATCTTCACTGGAAGGTCAAGTGGCTCCGCTGAAACCCCTTAAAGAGCAGTTTGGAAGTAAATAAAGGAGAAGTGAGCCAAGGCAAGGCACCGGCTTTGACGTCTCCTGAGAAGTCACAAGCTGCAGGTCAGATCTTGCACTGAAATTTGAGAGTCAAAACTTTGGTGTGAGGTTTTAACTTGTGAGAGCCATTAAAAATCACCTGCTTATCCATTAAAAACAGCCCGACTTGGTCCATAGAATGTGACCCACCTCATAAAGATCTCTCTTTGGTCCACGTTTATAGCTAACTTTACTAAAAGAAACACTTTTCAGTTTCCCCAGGAGAAATTTTAGGCTGCAAAGTTCTGCAGGCTATGGTTTCAAAAGCAGTTTCTGGGGGAATTGGGGCAGACGGCTCTCTGGACAGAAACACTTCATGGTTTTGGGGATGCATTTGTGTAGGATGCAAAATAGGAGGTTTTTTTTTATTTTTAGGCTTTGTAATCACTTGCACTGACAATAAAAAGTGCCTCCTGCAGACAAAGGATGCAGTCACAGGAACATTCACTGGCAGAACAAGCTCCTAACACAGTTCCTGATCTTCCTGCCTTCAGCTGCAATTCAGCTGTGCCAATACATCCAGGGCAGTAAGGGAAACCTCTTTGGGCTTGATTGTGGGTTGTGTTTTGTTTGTTTGGGGAGGTTGTTTGTTTGCTTTTTTAACACAGCTCAGTTTGGAAACATTAACAACCTCGGTCCAGGTGGGCATTTTGAACAGGAGGGGTAATTCCAGTAGAGCTCAACCACCGATTTCTGCAGACCTTTGTCAGGACGAGCAGCCAAATCTGCTTCAGCTGCAGCAAGCAACAATAAAATCTTACAGATGACCTGCAAACAGATTTTTCTGGGCGGCGGGGGGGAAGGCAAAGCAGAAGGAAGAGAGGAGGAGACTGAATTCCTCGGAGCTCCAGCCAGCCATCTGTGATTTCAAAGGATCCAAACCTACTGCTAGAAGAAATCCTCTAACTGCAAGTTGTGATTAGAAATTTCAAAGCTGTGGGCGGGGGGCTGGGATGGATGTTAATTTTAGTACCCGGGGCTTTCTCTCAGCTTAACTCTTTCCTCGCCCTGCAGTGAAGCAGCCTGGAATGTGTCAGTGTCAGACCTAAAGGAGCCCGCGGGGGATACTGCACCTTCAGCCAGCAGCACGGCTGAGCTGTGCCTAAGCCTAAATTCGGGAAGAGGTAATTTCATGGAGGCTGGGAGCTGGAGAGGGCCCTTGCCACTTGTCTGTGTGACTCACCCCGAGCTCACTCCCACAGCCTGCTACAAAGGCAAGCCTGTGAGATAGTTTGGCAGCGTCGCTCACGTACATCATATGCTCGCCACTTCTTTTCCTCCAACCAGATTTTTCCTGGGAGTGCAAATAAAGCTGACCTCATTTTAGTGCTGGTTTTCCAAACGGATGATTTTTTCCAAACATCTTAAAGGAACCTGCCAGCTAAAACCACGGGTCGGCAACAGCAAAAAGAGAAGGCAGAGCAATGTTTTGATGGGAGGGAAGGGAGGAGTTTTAAGTCTATTTTGAAAGAGAAATCCCAGGGTCCATTTAGCAGCAAGGAAGGAGGAGCAGGAGCTCTCTGGAAAGGGCTCCACCACAAACTGGACCAGTTTTAACAAACCTTTGCTTTACTTTGTTCCACCAGCCTCGTGACTGACACCAGGGGTTTGCTGTTTAAGGGAAGCTAAAATGGTATTTTCCAAAGTAGGGCCTTTTAAAAAACAAGGTAGAAGATGAACTCCTGACTGAACTTTCAGACAATGTCACCATTCTTCCCTCCTGGCAGGATGGGCACGATTCCAGACCCATGCCCGAACTACTCCCTGTTCTAACGGCTCTGTTTGGAAATGCCAGGGGAGGGGGAGGAGGTCTGCATTTGCTTTTTGCCTAACAACTGCCAAGATGAGTCCATTCAAGCAGCCTTTGCCCAGAAAGGCCTTTGGTCAGTAATGGCTTAAATGCTCCGTGCCACAGCTCCGGAGTGATGCAAACAAGCTGTTTGAATCACAGCTCCCTCCCTTCTGGGGCAGCGTGTGGAAACACATCGAGCACACTGTGGATAAAAGGTAAAGCCGGAATGCAGCCCTGGGAGAGCAGCTCCAGCTGCACAACGGATGTGTTTGATGCAAAGAGGGGCTGAAACTCAATACATTTTAATGAGTTCTGCTGCGAGATTTTGGTTTATTTGAACCAAAAAATCAAAGGAAAATGTAAACTCTTCACAATGCTTATTAAAATCAGCCAAAAGACTGATTTTGGTAGGAATGGGCCCTGCTATTGTTCGGCAGCAGATCCCAAGGCTTGGGAACAGCCCTGCTGCCAGGTCAGGAATGTGAGCCTTTACTGTGTGCACTGGGGTGTCACATCAAGGGCGGGGACAATTAGTGGTCACATGCTGAACAGGTGGTGCCACCTCCTTGTCCAGAACTGAAGCACCAGACAGGAATAAAGCAAAGAAACATGAGCGTTTGCTGAAATGATCCCCATTGTTATGGGTTTTTTTCAACCTAAATAAATCCAAGAAAGCCATGGCTGGCCCTGTACCAAGCTGTCTGTACACCACGAGCACAGCTCCCAGTGATGACCGACCAAGGTTTACATAGCAGCCTCTGGGTTCTGCTTTGGGACCCTCTGGCTCTTTTGGGGACAACATCCAGGATTAGAAGGGAACACCTGGGAACCCCTCTGAGAAACTTGAGGGTGCTGCTGTTGAAGAGCCACCAGGCCATGGGCCTGAGGGAGCCATAGCAGCTCCTAAAGAGTATCACCAGCTGCCCCCTAATCAGGGAGGGTGAGGCACCCTGGCAGCAGCACCTGGGCAAGGGCTATATAAGGGGCAACTCGAGGCACCACTGCTTTTTGCAGGTTGTGACGAAGGAAGGAGGGACTCAGGTAGGCCTGTTCCAGTATAACCAGTCTCAGGTTTGGTGTGGCACACCGTGGGGCAGTTTGGCCTCTCCCTTGCAGAGGATTTTTTGTCTTGCAGGAGCCGTGGCGCCGAGTGAAGAGTTTTTAGGAGGAAGCAAGCAAGCAGGCTGCACAAGAACAGCAGAGGAGCTTTATGGGAGATGGATGGGACCTTGTCTGGGACTCAGCAGCCGGGAGAGCCTCAGCCCCCCTTTGCAATACAGAAGCAGGCAGTGTCCACTTCCATCCTCAAGGAGCACGTAAGTGTCTGGAGAAGGGAAAGGGTGGAAGCAGGTGATTTCTGGCACTAAAAGGAAAGTTCGTGCCCCACCTAAAGGCTTTTAACAACAAAAGAGGCTCACCACTCTTGTTAAAGGGGAGCCACCTGTGCATTTGGGCAAAAAGTATGGGCTACCTGCCCCTAAACCAGGCCAGACCTCTAGGAAGATGGTGTGTGATTGCAGCAGTGATTCAAATGACTATGGAGATCCAGGGGAGGCAGACAAAGGCTTCTTAGGCCCTAGTGATGTTCTCCTCAGTGCTGGCCAGCAGTTGGCTGCAGAACCAGTCTCGGTGAAAGGGTTTGAGGTTCTACAACCACAGAATCCTGCTTGTGGTGCAGCACCTGCTTGGGAGCGACAGGATCCGCCCTGCCAAGCCAGGCAAAGGTATCCCTGCCATTGGAATGCCTGACCAAAATTTTACAGAGGGCTTCAAAGCAGGTATGGCAGTGCAGGTACTATGGGAGTGATGGGGCTGGTGAACAAAGGACTTGGGGTGACACGTATACTGAGAGCAGCTCGCTGTTCTTCAGGCAGCAACTGCTGAAAGCAGAGCAGGAAGGCTTTAAAAGGAAAGAAAAAAAAGGGGCAAACCAAACCTGGCATTATGTAATGTCTCACTGCCAGTCTCCTAAAAGCAACACAGGCAGAGCATGATTCACTTCTCCCACCACCAATATAACTAGGTAGAAATCAACAGTAACTTGAAGGAAGTCACTCCAAGGAAAAGCAAGCTCACAAAGTATGAGAGTGAGCAGTAATTTCATAAAATAGGGCCAGAGGCTTTCAAGCTCATAAAAGCCAACTCTCTACAGGCGAGGGCCAACAGGCATTCGGAACTGAAAGCATCATGCACCACCTTTTGAGTAATATAATCCCCTGAAACCAAATAAATACAATGCCTCTGTGGGCAAAAACACAGAGACAGGACTCAGCAGCAGCTCTTTTTGTCTTTCGGCAGTAGTCGGTCGTTAACATCAATGAACAGCAATAAAACCAAACAAGTTTATACCCAGTTCAACACCCACTTCCAAAAAATGTCTGACTACAATGGCTTGATTCCTCTTGACAACAACAAAAGGGAATTTTGTCTGAAAGCCTAAGTGCTCACCAAGGCCAATATTTTGCTTTGCAGATTCTGATTGGCTTCGGGGTAAATTATCAGTGATTACAGCTAATATCAGGATACAGTGTGAGGCAGTAAAAAGAGATAATTATGAGGAAATGAGGAATTATCTGCTGTTGAAACAATAGATCAATTATGAGGTACAGCACAGTAGCTGCAGAGCAGCATTCTTGGGCTCTGAGGGTACTGTCTTCTCTTTCTCATCAACCAAAGAGAACCCACAGTTATAAAGCTTAATTATCCTCCAGGAGCTCAAGCTTGCTGACTAATTAGTCTCTTGTTGAGACAATACAGAAAAGGATATAATTCCAATTGTCCGCAAAAATAGGATGGCACAGGCACAGTCCCGGCTCTTCCCTATGTATTTATCTCTCCTGCCTTCTGAGTATGAAGGTAACAGCTTTGATATCCGTGGTTCTGGACAGCCTAAAAACAGTCCCCAGCCTAAAATAAATGAAGGCAGGGAACTCCGGGAGGTGGGGGTCCGGATAAAGAGGAAGGGAGCGGTGTGTCTGCGGCAGTGTGACACGGCAGCCGGAGTGTTCCCGCTGCTCAGCCACAGGGGAGCTGGGTGAATCCCGCCTCGCTCCTGTCACTGCACACACACGCACTTGCAGGGCTCTCACAAATGCAGACTAAGCTGGCTCTGATGCTCAGGGTATTACTACAGCAGTTGCAGGCTCTGTAGTTGCATGGCCACAGTTAGGAGTGCTTAAACTGAAGATTTGCAGTGCAGATTGTTAAAAAAGTAAGGGCTGAAGCTTTTAGGAGCCAAGTTCTTGTCTGACAGACCGCTGTAGTCAAGGGCTACCCCAGCCAAGAAACAGGACCTTGAGGTATACAGCAAAATACCACCAAAAAGGCACAAAAGCCTCTGGCAGACGGGTTCATCCAGCACCTCCCATCACCCCGGTAAGGAAAATGTTTGATGTCCGGGCTGATGAGCAGTACAGACTATCTGCAGTAACATGTCATTCCTGAGTGAGCTTTTACATGAGTTTATGGCATAGCAAGTGCAAATAGCCATTATGGTTAATAAATCAGTCTCGGTAATATTTGCAGTTAGCAAACACACAGGAAGGGAAAATGTCAGACCACATCTGCTCCATACTGAGACAGGAGACACCTGACATTTCCTTCCACCTCAATGACTTCACTGTGCTTGTTTGGCCTTTGAAAACAGCTATTATTGTGCTGAAATCTCAAAGAAACTATTCTCAGTGAACCAGAATCCCCCTTGAAATCCACCTCCTTGATGGCAAGCCTGGATTTCCTGCTGCTTCATTGGAGTGCCCTGGTGGTTCTTCGGTCAGTACCTCCCCTGCACCCAGAGTCACGGGAGCAAAGTAAAAAAGGCACAAATTGGCAGCTTCCTGGGCAGGTCAGCTCTAGACACCCATTCTACCTCCTGCAGGGGAGGAATTCACATCCCACATTTCACACCATCTGGAGATACAGGTCTTCTTCACTCACAGTTTGCTCCCTGCTCGGGCAGTGGAGTCCTAAGGGTTATATAATTTGGCAGTCAAAATATGATGTCTAATTTTCTTGAGGTCCTGCCCAGCCTTTTTAAAATCTGTTTGAAACAAACTGCAGGCTGCTTATCTATCCCTTCCATCACCCGGTTCAGATGGCTCATTTCCATCAGCGTGACAGATGTGCTGAACCTCATCTCATAAAAACACAAAGATTAGACCTGTGAATGTAAGTGCTCCCAAAAATCCAGTTCAGCAGGAGGTCAAAAGTAATTAATGCTTTAACCACTGAATGGTTGCAGGTGTGCAAGGGGAAGCATCTTCCACCAGGCCCTGAGGGAGGGCACCTTCCACCACACGGACGCTGCTCCAGGCCTCGCTTCAGTCCCTGCACGAGCGCTGCTGAGAAGCAGGTCAGCACAGAAGAGTTGGAATGGAAAAGGTAAGGGACTGTAATTACAGGGGACATGCTCCAAGCTTTAAAAGGCTCTCAGCACTTTGTCCACCAAAAAGCTTCTCCTGGGGCAGCAACACGAGCAAAGGCAGTGGCATCGAACAGCCTGGCGCCTGGACTGACCTCTATTTAAACTGATAAATGTACGTCCGTGGGCTGCAGCCCCAGGGCATTCTAGCCTAGCATCCACCAAGGAGATGGTCCCACCACAGCAAGGCTCTTACCAGTTCACATCAGTATTTTTAAGTAGGGTCGCAGAGCAAACAAAGCACAGGATTTGGAGGTACAGATTGGACACAGTAAAAGGAGCATCTAAGGTCAGTTCTGCCACATCAAACCATACGCGAGCTCTGCATCGGGGTGAAGGATAATTAAAAGTATATGTATATGTACGCCATGTGAAAGTTCGGTTCCTGCTGGGGAGAAGCCAAAACACCAGCTTCCCACACCCCACACCAAGGTCTGTGTAGGCACAGAGGAGAGCCAGCCAGGCTACTTGAAAAACAAAACTGATTCATTTGCAGGGATCCAAAATCAAACCCTCGAGACAAGGAAAAGATGCCGTGATTTGCTTTCTGGAAGACAAACTCCTCCCCAGCCTCACCTTGGCTAACCCGGGCTCCAGATGTACCTGCAGTGGGGCAGAGCTGGGGGGCACAATCAAAGCTGTCACCTCTGCATGGAAAAGGGGAGACGCTCCCCTTTCCAGAGTGTGTCGGGACCACCACGTGCATCTTGGTCAGTTTTAGTATTTTGGTTAATAAAAAAATCTCACCCTTCTGTCTCAAAAAGGGGCTGTGCCATGCACAGGCTGTTGCAGCGCACTATGGAAAGAATGTTTGGGAGCAGACAAAGGCTGATGCTGAAAAGCATTTTTAAATTCAGGCTTGAAACAGTCTGCCTTTTAACACCCTTATTTTTAAGAGCAGGAAAATGAGGGATTGTTCCTTTTTCCCTCCTTCACAGGGTCAAAAGGGGAGGATATGGGAACAGGTTTTCCTGCGTTCAGTTTTCAGGAGGATTTTTTTTTTTTGCCAGTCTGCTTTCTTTTTACCACAGGCATGAAACAACCCACGGCAATCTCGTCCCTTTGAGCTGACCCCTGAAATGAATTTATGGAACACCCCTTTGAAGATGGATTTGCAGAAGGCAAAGTTGCTCTTCCTTCAAGGAAACTTAATCTCTGCAAATGAAGTACGTGAAGAGAACAGAACAAAACCGGGGGGCCTACAGGGAAGCCGGAGAGAGACTTCATCAGGTACTGTAGTGACAGGACAAGGAGTAATAGGTACAGACTGAAAGAGGGGAAATTCAGGTTGGTTATCGGGAAGAAATTTTTCCCTGTCAGGGTGGTGAGACGCCGGAACAGGTTGTCCAGGGCAGGTTGCGGCTGCTCCATCCCTGGCACTGTTCAAAGCCGGGTTGGACGGGGCTCGGAGCAATCTGGTCTAGTGGAGGTGTCCTGCCCATGGCAGGGGGGTTTGGGACTAGATCTTTAAGGTCTATTCCAACCACGTAACATTGTGTGATTCTAAATCTTCACTATGACCAGAAAGTCACAGTTGGGGCACAGATCGGGGACCAGCACCGGCACCGCACCCGCACGGACACACAAAGCACCGCTCGCGGGATGCTTTGCGCGTTCGCAATCACAAGTTAAAACGTTTATACCGCCAGCGCTGCACAGCGATGCCGTGCGCGCAGCCCTCGCACCGCCCGCTCCCCCCGTCCCCGCCCGGCTCTCACCTCCCCTGCGCGGCGGCGGGGTGCCCGGCGGGGCCCGGCCATCAGCACCCCATGACGGGGCGGCGGCGCCGGGGCTCCTCCGCGGCGCTTCAGCACCGTGCGGGGCCCATGCCCGGGGCGGCGGCGGCGGCCGGCGGGCTCCTCATGTCGCCATGACGGGCGAGGGAAGGCTGAGGGGAGGTTGGGGGTGGAGGGGGGGGGGGAAAGGTAGGCGGGCCGCCGCCGCCCGGGAGGGAGGGAGGGGGTTAAAATAAAATAAAATAAAATAAAAATGAAAAGGGAGGGGGGGGGAGCGAGAGGCAGCCCGCAGCCAGGCGCTTCCCGGGGGGATCGGGGAGGGGGGGTAGGAGGGGAAGAAGCGCCGGCGAGGCGGCGCGAGCGCCCCTCAGCGCGGAGCCGCCTCACCGCCTCCCCTCAGCGCCGCCGCCAGGGGACAAAGCCCCGTGTGAGGAGGGGCGGAGGCCGCCGGCGGCTGGAGGCGGTTCTCCCCTCCCGGTTCTCCCCCCGCCGCCCGGCGAGGGTCCCGCCGGCGGGCGGCTGTGAGGGGGAGTCGGGGAGGGGAGCAGGGACTCTTTTCTCTGGCGGAAGAATCGCGCGTCTCGGTCGCTTCGCGAAGGCATCCGCGGCGCGTGCGCGCGCGCGCGGCTTCGCGAGAGCGCGGAGGGGACCTCGGAGCCGGCCCGCGGCCGGTGTTTAAAGTTGCGTTTAAAACACTCGCGAAGCGATTGGAAAAGGCGCCTGTTTGTAGTTAAACCCCTTCTCGTGTGGACCCTCAGCAAAAGCGCCGAGTTCTTGCCTGTTCTGTGCCCATCCCGTGTCTCCCAGCCTGGGTGTGCTGGGACAGACCTCCTTGTTTATTCCGTGTAGATCCTTTATTTGCTGCCCGCCCTGCAGAATGTAAACAGGAATTTGCCCTGGACTTTATTTGCTTCCTTAGGCCTTTCCCCAGCACAAAGGGTGTCACTGCACTTTTCCTTCTCGTATCCAGGCTATGTCTGGCATTCCCGCTGACTGCATGAGTGCCAGGGAAGCTGAGATGTTGTCTTACACCTCCCTTCTTTAAGAACTGGACAACTAAACCTGTGAATGTCCCAATTTTTTTGTAACCTAATTTTCTTTTTTTTTAAATGGGTTTGGGACTGTGTTACAATACAGTATAGCAGAGACCAGGAACAGAATAAATACTTGGCATGCAAATCCTGGCATGGTGAGGAGTGTCAGAATCTTGCCACACCACCAGAGGTTGAAATGAACAGATAAAAGCAAGAAGTTCAGAGCAAAGGCAACTCGTTTTCTTTAAACTCCTTCCAGTATCTGTAATTATTGGCTGTTCTGACAGCACACAAAGGAGGATTTCCTCTAGAGATAGTAAGCACAGTGACATAAATCAAGCACGGGGAGAGCATAGGTTGTTTTTGGTTTTTTTTTTTTCAATTTATTTCCTGACAAATTAACTCTGAATCGGTTTGCTAAAAATTCATCTGTCACAGGCTTTTTTTAACCCTTTCCCTAGTAGCTTATAAGACTGAAATGAAAGGCTATTTTTGCTGCAGCAACCCCTCTATGCATGGGGTGAACTGCTCTTGGAATCCAAGCCTGCCGTGTGCTGCTCCTTTTCATTTCTATTCATTTTCACCTTGACTTTTCAAACTGAGAAGGTGCAGAGAAGGGCAAGTCCCGCTGGAATTTTATCCCGCTTTCACAATTCCATTCTAATTCTTCTGGGACTCGTTGCTTAAGAGTCGGCGTTTCAGAAGTCTGTAAAGCTGTGGCAGTTTTCCAAGATCCCACTGGTAGTTTGTGGCAGTCACCACAACCAAGGGATTTAGAGAGACACTGCTGGGAAAGAGAGAGAGGCAGCCAGCAAGAATTCCGTGTGTTTGTCCAGGGAAAGAGGCAATATTAAACCTAGAGAAAAGAAACGACCTTGGTGATTGCAATGAGGTGCACCTGGAGCACGGCCACTGTCCAACGGCAGGCAGGTGTTTTACGTTGGACTTGATGGCCTGGAAAAAAGCTGGATGTCTTGGAGTGGTGGAAAGACTCCCAAGGGCCATGTCAGCCAAGGAAGAACACTTTGGTTGCAGGGGTTCACAGCCAAACACTGAAATGTGGAAAAGGGATCTCGCCCCGATAAGGAGGACCTGGGGGTGCTGGGGGATGAGAGGCTGGACAGGAGGTGTCCATGTGCATTGGGATTGTTCAGCCTGGAAAAGAGAAGGCTTTAGGGTGACCTAATTGTGGCTTTCCAGTGCTGGAGCAGAGCCTGTAAGAAAGATGGAGAGAGACTATTTACAAGGGCCCGGAGTGACAGACCAAGGGGGAATGGCTCCAAACTGAAAGATATTAGGTTTGGATTGGATATTGGGAAGAAATCCTTCCCTGTGAGGGTGGGGAGGCCCTGGCACAGGTTGCCCAGAGAAGCTGCGGCTGCCCCATCCCTGGAGGTGTCCAAGGACAGCTTGGACGGGGCTTGGAGCAACCTGGGCTAGTGGAAGGTGTCCCTGCCCACGGCAGGGAAGTGGAACTGGGTGAGCTTTAAGGTCCCTTCCAACCCAAACCATTCTACGATTCTGTGTATCCTTGCAGCAGACATTTCTGTCTATTTTTAAACACCCTTCGGAGAAAAAAATGGATGGTCTTGTGGTTTGGCTCTGTGTGGTGCTGTGGAGACCCAAGTGCTGCTCCCTGCCTGACTTTTGACCAGCCAGTTAAACGCAGGGATGCAAAGGTTAAGGCTCATTTTCATACCCACCCAACTTGGGTGCACTCAAAGTTCAGCAAAGGCTCGCAGAGCTCGAGGAGTTCAAACCTGTGTGCAGACAGCAGCTGCAGAGCAAGGATAGATTCACCCTCGTGTTGGGCAGGCTGGGAGGCTATATTCAAATAGTTTGTCAAGAATTTGAATATCCCGAGGGGCTGGAAACATGCAAACTTGCAAAAACAACTGCTGTTTGGGTTTAGCTGGTCAGGTTCGCTCTGTGACAGAGTTATCCCTGTGGTTTTCCTTGTGTTTGTGCTTTGGCTCCAGTCATTACATAACTTATCTATATTTATTGCTAGCCTGTGATCCAAGCAGGCTTGGAGCAGCCCAGAGGAGGCAATATTGATGTTGGTTTAAAGAACAGAATCTTTAAAAAAAATAATGGAAACAGACTCTCAGGATTTCTTGGTTTTCCAAAAGCTGCAAAGAAAGTTAAACTCCATTTTCTTTGTGAGAGGCACAGTTTGCAAGTGTGGAATGTTGGGAAAAGCAGCAGAAGGTAACAAGGAGAATCCTAAAAACATAGTTTATGGTGAAATGACCTGGCAAGGCTTTGCTCAGCTTCCAGGGAGGAAGTGCTCGTCAAAGAAAAATCATTGGCACATAGGAACTTTCCCAGAGGAATGAAATGGGTTTGAGCACTGAACTGTCTGATCTCTGTGAGAACTGAACTATCCAAAATCGTTAGTTAGTTTTGAAAAATCTTACCCTTTTTTGTGCAATGAATGAACCAATGGAATGCTGATTTTCCCAGTAAATCGTGTGGAAATCAGAACATACGAATTATTGGGCTGCTCTGCCTTATAAGTACATCGGCCGTGCTTGTTCCTACAGGCAATAATTAGCTGCCCTTTTAAAAAAACATAATCCTCTCTTCCTGGAGAATATGTGGCAAAGGACAAAAGGAAACTAGATGCAGGCTCCTTCGTTTCTCTGAGCTCAAATGTAGATTTGCACCGCAGCTGTTAAAGGCTGTTGACCCCAGAAACCATCAGCAGCAGAATTACAGGAGTGTCACCTCCAGTGGAACATCCCCACGGCCTCTGAGGACTTCGTAGCTGTTCCCACCCTGCTCGTCCTACCAGCAGGAATCTAAATTATTTACTAGGTAAACAAACCCTTGTATCCGAGCTGCACAAGATTCCCTTTCCTATCTGTTCCCAGCACGGAGCTTCTCGAAACACCGAGACACGGTTCTGCTTTCCACCGGAGCTGTGAAATACGTGCTCACATTTAGCAAATGAAGCACCTCTTTCACCTCATTCAGTGATTAATTCAGAGAGGAGAACTGCAGGCACTAAATTAACCTTTTTACCTGATTTAGTTTTACTAAATAAACAGCCCCATAATGTAATTTTCTCAACCAGAACAGCTATTTCCTGCGGTTTGCTTTCCTATTTGGAACGTGTTCCATCCCGAATCTATTTCATTTCACTCGGTAACAGTAATACCTTCAGACTGTGTCCCTTTTCCCTAGGGATCACACCTGTAAATCCAGCGTTCTTCCTAGAAAATAGATGAGTAGTCAGAAATGGCTGTCACAGCACGCAGGAGCACCAACAGCAGATAGGAATGTGCCTCCTCCTCAACAGCATTCCCAATTTTACCTTTTAGTATTGGCAGCGTGAATGACACGGGGGGTGTCAATTAATACACAGGTTTTCTTCCATTTTTCCCTTCCAGAACATCAAAATTCCTTCCTTTTCTCCGTTGCTTTTAATCAGCTGACTGTGGTTGTACTCCACTGTAGACATCATCGTTAATAAGTGGGTAGTTTATGTCCTGGGGAGTTGCTATCAGCACTGCAGGAGCTCATAACCTTGCCCAGTGTGTGGTGGTGCTGTGCCACTTGTGGCCGTGCCTTTCCCCAGGGGTCCTTTGCCGCCCCGTAACAGTGATTTTCACTTTTCCACGTGGATCAGGATCATGTTCACTGAGGGTACATCTGAGAAAGTGTATCTGAATTCTCTCTTCTGGCAAGTGTCAAGGGGATGTTAGTGAAATGTGCCTGGATACGGTAGCTTAGGACACAACTATGTTGGAAATGCTCTTGCAGCTGTTCCTTGGAAAACATCTGTGGGTCTGGGCGTGGAAATTTGTACATCTCCGTTCACACCAGCACAGAGCAATTTTCCTCTGGTGCAACAAAGTATAAATTATTGGGAAATAAGGACATTATGCACCGATGGACATGAAATGACTAAAGGTAGTCATCTGGAAAGCAAGGGGGGGAAATGGAATATTCCTTACTGGCACAGGAATAATATAAGCAGACTCCACAAGAATTCCAGTACTCCAGCTTCTAGTGTTTGAGTAGGAATAACCACTTCTCCAGGCTCGATTACTTACATTTACAGTTGGAAAAAACCTTCCATCTGTGACAGTCTGTGTTTGTATTGTCTGATAAAGGGAAGAATATACAGGTTGACGTTATTTTGTATTTATAATTAGTGATTATCCCTATGCAAAGTGAAAAGGACGTTGTCCCAAAGAAGTCAGTGTTAGCAAATGACAAACAAGAATTTAAGTAACTGTGGTAAAGGAAAGAAAGGAGTATTTTGTTTTGTAAGCATATTGTCTCGTGGACTCTTTGTGCAAAGGGACCTCATGCCTCTTAGAGTTTAATCTCAGTTATAGAAAATGAAATGTTAAATTAGAAAATAAGTGTTAAATCATAAAATAAATTTACAATGTCCATTCCCAGCCTTCATAACTGAGTGCTTCCTACCAAATCATTTTACTCAGCAGCTGCCTGGTTCTACAGGCAGAAAGGTGACTGCTTCTTTTTTTTTTTTTTTTTTTTTTTTCCATGGGTTAACTTTTAATGACTAATTTAAATTCCATTTACGCAGAATCCCTATGATTTTGAAAACGCCTCCTGAAATTATGCACGACTACCTTTCCAAAAAAAAAACCAAAAAAAAACCCCAACTTTCCAAAGCCATAAGTACAACACTGCCTAGAATTATCCTGTCAATTAAATAAAAGAACCCACTTAAAATAAGTGACAGAAATACACAGTGAATTAAACGCACCTTCCAGTAACAAATGGTTATTAAAGGAGACCTCTGAGCAAAGTGCTGGTTCCGTGGTCATGCTTGGACAAGCACAAGGCTATTGAAACACACAGCTGCCTTTCAGACAATTTAACTTGCACTGAAGGCAAATTATCGCCATTTGATGTCATTCTCTTGGCTTCTCAGAGGTTCCCTTCGCTGCTCAACAGTGTCGGGGGAGCAGGACTGGGGCTGCAGCTCCAGCTGCCCATCAAATGCTGCCTGCAACGTCCTCCTGCAGAAAACAGGCTTGTGCATCTGGTAGTATGAGCTGAAAAAAGGCAAGGACAGATATTTTAATAGGCTTGGAGAAGCAGTATGGGGTTCTGGCAATAGCTGGAATGGGAACCAGGGAGGACTAAGACAAAGGGTGCCTAAACCCACCCCCTACAGAAGTCATGAATAATAATTGCAGTCACTGGGTAAGCTCTGAAGTGTGTCACACATTTGGAGTCTTTCCTGCTTCCTCCCTTTTTCTCAGTGCCCAGAGAGCAGAGTTTCAACAAGGTGGGGCAACAACAACAACCCATGAGCAACAGAACTGCAGATATTCTTGCCATGGCCCTGGTGAAGTCACCACGAGTCCCTTCCCCTCGGTGCTGGCTGTACGTGAGGGTTTGCACTGCTCTGGGGGTGACGTTCCCCCTTCCTCTTCCCATGCCAGAGCCCTTTTCAAAGCCTCCAAAATGAGACTGGATGATGTTAAAAATGTAGGTTGCACTGGACTGTTGGCTCTTTGCTCCAGATCTTTCCAGCTCTGTGTAGAGAGGCCTTTGTGACAACACAGGCTCGCCAAAGAGCCAGCTCACACTCTCCAGACTTTTCCTCGCTCTCTGTCAGTACCAGGGATCATGGAATTCTGTGCTTCCCAGCATACCCTACATGGGCTCGCTCGACGCTGTGAAATAATAGACAGGGGCCCGTCCCTGGTGTTATTTCTGGAACAGAATCCTTTTGTGCCAGTGAAGGCTTGGAATTTCCTTCACGATTCGGGATTTTAGCACTACAAGCAATTGAATTTTTTAGCTGCGTTTCACAGGTTTTCTGCCAGCTACTGGGAATAAGGACATTTTCTAGTACATTTTTGGATTTCTCTCCTCTAGTAATCTCATCTTGGGAGCCTTGTCCCAGGACTGTGGTGCAGCTGTGCTGGTATGGAGGTATTTATATAAATAAGGCAGCTTTTACTTTAGGTAAGCAGAGTATGTGGTATCAGTACATGGCAGATTTATGTAAATGAAAACTTACAGTCCATCCTAAACTTATTGTTTCCATTGATTTGTGTTTGGGTCCTGCCAGCTCAAAATACTTTCTGCTCTAAGTTTCCTGAGCAAACAATCTGGGTTTCTTTTTTCTGCCCTCTCCCTTCCTTATTCCAAGAGCTGTTTGGAACTTGGGGTGTGGTCTCTGGGACTAACAGACTCTGGATTTGTCCGTGTGGCCGGTGAACCTCTTCCCCAACACCAACCTCCTGTTTACATTATTCCTTTATTGGGAAGCCTGTCTCTCCTTTTTTCTTGTGGGCAGCATGTAATAAATCTGAATAAATTCATTTATTTATGAATGCTGAGCCTGACTTCCATGGGCACGAGGTGAGGGGTGTGGAATTACACTCCTCTGGACAGACAGGAGCTGCACCGGTGGGGACATTGCTCCTATGGCTACTGGAGGATCAAATGCCACTTCCCTTCGGGGGCTGCTGTCTGGGGAACAAGGTTTTAAGTTCTGACAGACATATGAATCATTTCATCTCTTTGAATGTTTCCTCCCAAAGGGCCTGGTGAGGGGAAGCCCGTGCAAAGGCTTTTGATAGCTTGTATCCCCAGGCACCGGTCCCACTGCTTCTAAAAGCAACAGAATCTGCAAAACATTTCTCAGATACATATACATACTTGTGTGTACATGTACAAAGCTGTGGAGCCTCTGTATCTGTTTTCTAGTAAGTGCATTTTGGTACAGAAATGCAACTCTGTGACTTCTGCCTTCCAGTTGCCAGCACTGCTGCTTGTCCTCCATACTGGGGTAATGGGGCAGCAGTGGAGCACTTGGATTAATTAGTGGCCATAAATGGTGTGGAGCTCTTTGGTTGAGTGGTTCAAGGGAACTCTTGTTCCAAGTGACCCTTGTTTTCCTTCCGTGGGTGGGCAGAGTGGGCAGACTGCTTGTGTCTGGAGTGTTAATTACTCTGGGTCCCTTAATCAGGAAGGTTGTAATCCTATTTCGGTGTGGAAATCCACATGCCACAGGGCCCAGTCAGCACCCCTGATATCATCCCCTGCCAGTCAATACACAGCCATTAGCCATCCTGAACTATTCCCGAGGAACTGCTGTGCAGACATGCCAGGACAAGTTTTGCCAAGCCACGCTGGAAGACAGTTTAGCAAGGCTGGTTAAAATCATCCCAGTTTAATGGGACATGAATCTTTGGGTTCCCAAAGAATGTCAGGCAGGACTTGCTGCTCTCTAAAGCACAGCATGTTACAGAACAGATAAACTGTGTTTCCTCAGAATACTGAAAACACTTCTCATCCCCTCCCCCCCACATTCGCACTTCCCTGGATCCCAAATAAATGCCACATTGAAAGAAAATTATTCCTTGCATAAGTGAAAAAAAATAAAACAACAACAGATTTTGTTTCCTGACCTCGCCACGACTCCTCCTTTTCCCACAACGCTCCATTGTTCTGCCAGGTCCAGACAGCACAGGGAGCAGACTCGTTTTCCCTGTTTTTAATCCCAAAGCTGGAGTCCATCACTTACAATAAGGATCCTTGGGGTTTGGTGGGTTTTTTTCTCGATCCTACTCAGCTGTTTGCAACAAATGAGTTAATTGCCGAGGAACAAAGATGAGGCAGGGATCCTTCTCTCCCAGCTTGGGAAGTGAGCCATGCTCTGATAAGAGATTTCCCCCCTCAGGTTACGTGATGTATTGAAGGATAATTTTTCAGTGTGTTCTATTAGGTTTAAATTAGTAAAGGGAAAGGAATGTATGTGTTCAAGTAGGTGTCTGAATTGGTATTTTTAGAGCTGTCATGCTCTGTGCTTGCAAAATGAACATTTTCTGTCCTTTAGGTAAACTGGAACTTATGTTCCACTATGTTGGAGGAGGACGAACAGCCACGTTCCATATCTGTGGTGGCAAAATACACTTCAGAATGTGGGGAGAAATAAAAGGAGTGACCGCCCAGGGCTTTTGGAGAACAGAGACTGGAGCCGAGAGCCTCATCCTGTAAATGTCACCTGGATGTTGTCACTGCATGGAACCAGCTGGAAGTTGTTTCTTCCACTCACAATTGTTAACAATTAATTTTTCAAACTGGAGCAGATCCACAGTTCCCACTTCAGAAGCTACAAAGGCTTTTGCCCCCCCCCCAAAAATCAGCCGGTGCGCCGGTTCATTCACCGTGTGATGGGACGGATGCTCAGGTGTAGCTGGTGGTACCTACAGGAGCGCTGGCCCCCGTCAGGAATCACCCTGAGGAAAAGTCGTGCGTGTTTACGGGAATCTTGGAGCACTTGGCATCCAAATAAACTCGAAGGAAGCGTTGGCCGTCATCGCTGGCAGAGCAGACAGGGACTGTGCCTCGAAATAGCGCTTGGCAGAGGAACGCTGCTGACGGCTCGGTGGAGAAGGCGGATTTGCTTTTCCAGACCGAGACATTTCATAAACAGTTTCTGTTTGTTGGAGCTGTGGAACCTCACTAGATCAAACCCAGTCCTAATCTGCTGGAGCCGCCTCCACAGGCTTTTGTCTCCAGTGTGTACACACAGCCAGTCGCTGTGGTTTGGGCCCGTCCTAGGACATTTATCCCTTTGTGTTTGACCACGAGCACGTTGGGGCAGCCCCACAAATCCTCCAGACGATGGGGTTTTTGTTTTATCTGGTCAAGCTGCAGGCTGAGAAGGTCTTTGATGCAGCCTCTGACTTGGGGGCCGACCCACCATCTCCTTCCTGACAAACCGAGCCTTGGATTCACTCCACGGGATGGGAAGCTTGGAAGTGCACATCCCAAAAAACTCTGCCACACCAGGCTGTACGTAAACCTGTCGATCTGAAGCAGGACGAGGAGGGGTTTTAAAATCCAGGCGGGTGTTTGGAACCCTCAAGGAACAGCACGAGGAGGAGGGTCCCACAGAGATACACATTAAACCCGCGGGGGCTGAGCACTCGTCCTTACCCTGCCTGGGGACACGGGATAAGGCCGGACGGGCGGTGCGGGGGCAGAGGAGCGCTGTGGCACACGGTGCCCGCCGGGACCCGCCGCGGCCTGAGGGGGCGCGCGCGGGCCCCTCGCGGTTGCCGGGGCCCGGAGCTGTGGGCGAGGCAGAGGCAGAACTGGCCCGACCAATCAGGAGAGACCCGGCCACGGCCGGCGGCCAATCGGCGCCAGTAAACAACACGCCCCCCCCCGCGGGGCGGGGCGGACCAATCAGGACGCGGGAGATTTGGGCGGTCTTTTCAAAACGGCCGAGGCGCCGCTCGCGGCCCTTTAAAGGCGCGATGCGGCCCTTCGGCGTGTCCCTCCGCGCGGCCTCGCCGTCCATCCGGAGCGGCGCGGTGCCGCCCCGCTCCCCACCGAGCCGGAGCGCCGCCGGGCCGCCGCGCCTTTCTCAGACCTCCGGGCGCTCTCGGAGCGCCGCCGGGCCGCGCGGGTGTGAGCGGACTATTTGTCTTCCGCGCGCCGCCTCACCAGCGGGAATCGCTCCGCGAGGGACAACAAAAGGCGTGGGCGGGGCCGCGGGGCCGCCATCTTGGAGCGGGGCCGGGGTGGGGGCTGCAGCAGCGGCGGCCGGGGGCGGTGTTGTGATGGTGCCGTGACGGTGCCGTGACTCCCCGCGGGAGTCCAGGCCGCCCTGCCTGGATGCGGGGCCAGCGGCCGAGCCCACCCCCGTCCGCGCGGTGACGGGAGCCGGGCTCGCCTCCCCCTCCCCGAGCGCTGAAGGGCCGCGGGGGGGGCCCGGCGCCCCCTCGTCCCCGGCCTGCGGGGCCCCTTTGTTTCCCAGGTGCGGAGGGGAAGGAGGAGGAGGAGGAAGGGGAAGATGGGCAGCGAGGCGCTGTGGCTTTTCAAGCAGCTGAACCTCCACCTGGAGCTGGAGGGACGGTTCCAGCCCCGCGAGAAGGGGCTCAGCCTCATCGAGGCCGCCGCCGAGGTGGGTGAGGAGGGCCCGGGCCGCTGGGCTGGGAAGGGGGGTGGGGGCAGAAAATGCGTGGTTTTAAAGAAAATTCGAGGTAATAGTGGACGTGCGTTACCTGCGAAAAGTTAATTCTTTCCTCCTTATGCGCCGCTTGCCTTTTGTTTTAACTCTGCCTTAATTCGTAGGTGTTAGCGTCGCGTTATCCAAGAGCTGCGACCTGCAGGGCAAGCAAAATATTTAGGCGTTTAGTATTTATTGTTTAGGTTTAGAGTGAGCACAGGAGCAAGCGGTTCTGTATTGTTTTCATCAGGGGAGCCTCCTGCCACCGCAGGGAAGGTGGGATGTCAAGCGGCTTTTCATTAGCGAGGTCTGGGGAAACGAACCCAGAAGCGCTCAGTGCTTCGACAGCAAAATGTAAATTGACCGTGAACATCTCCACGTAAAAGACCAAAGTTCCTCGGAGTTCAGGGAGGGCTGCGTTCTATCGGGTGCCTGGGAGGGGTTTTTTTGGGGGGGAAGGGCCCTAATGTTTAACAAAAACAAGTCCCTGAAACGAGGCTGCCTGTTTGTTGTGAAAGCAGAGCTGTTGTTCCTTAAATATTGACGCGCAGGCAGACAGCTGTGTGGTCATCTCTAAGGTCAGGAGCCACCGTGTATGCCTGCACTTGGTAAATAAGTCTGAAATATGCCTTTACATAAGAATTGGAAATGTGGCTGTGCTGGGTGTTGCTCTGGTGAGACTCAGGATCTGGCTGTAACCTCTGTACCTTGGGTGTGATTGGAATCTCAAGTGTCCAAATGTTTTTTTAAAGTTAAGTGAAATAAAAGTATCTGAGGAAAAAAATTGCTTCTGTTTGATATAAATAAAAGATGATTTAGGGAGTGAGTGGTCCCGGTCACTGCTGCTGCTGCCACAGAATAATCCTGACTTTGTCTGTCTTGCCATAGAATGAAAACACTCTGTGTCCAAGACAAAGGAATGCCAAGGTGGAAGATCTTTGGAGCCTGACCAACTTCTTTGGATTTGCAACCGAAACGTTTGTTTTGGCTGTCAACATCCTGGACAGATTCTTGGCCCTTATGAAGGTACAAGTGTGGCTGTTGATTCATTCTGTGCTAGCAACAGATCTGGAGTCTCCTTTGGAAACCTGGAGCACAGTTCTTTTACCTCTAAAGACAAGTAGCAGGTTGATTTATTTCTCTAATAAGTCTGTAGCCTTTGCCATGTAGATGTTTAAGAAAGGAGGAATTAAGAAAAACAAACCTGTTTGTCTTCCAGACTGTCTCTGGGTACCGTGTTAAAGCTTAACTTAGCTCTGGAGCTGATACCAAATGATAAATTTCCTGGTTGTTTTTATCGTGTTTGTGCTGGTTTAAGGCAGGAAATCTGAACCTAAAGCAGTTCCCTGTTATTAAATCAGCAGAAAAACTGAAGTTGCATCAGGTTTGTGGTCTGACTGTCCTTGAGGTGGCACAAAACGGGTGGGAGAGAAGAGCAGAGGCAGGAGCAAGTTGTGGAGGGATGGGGCTGCCTGGAACAGGCTCAGACTGGATCTGTGTGGGCTGTCAGTGAGGGAAGGTGAGCACTGCCGCTCGGGGAAGTGAGGAATTACAGCTCTCACTGCAGTGGATTTGTGTAGTGATGTGGAACAGCCCGAACAGAGGCTGCTCAGCTCTCCAGCTTCACTTCCTCTGCCCTGGCAGATCGATGCTGCTTGGTGGGCTCTGCCAGCTGGGTTGTGCTCCAGCTGCACTGCTGCAACTGGTTTTGACTGGGGGCGGTGGAGGAGCTGGCTGACAGCAGGTTTAGTTGAGATAAGCAAGGCCTTGGCTGCTGAACTGGGAATATTCCGGGCACTGTTGCCGTGCAATCAGGGCGCTCGTGGGGAGGGAAGTACTCACAGTGCTCCCTGTACTTTTTCAGGTGAAGCCAAAGCACTTGTCCTGCATTGGAGTTTGCTGCATCCAGCTGGCCGCCCGTGTCGTGGAGGAGGAATGCAACATCCCCGCTGCTCCCGAGATCATCCGGATCAGCCAATGTAAATGCACTGTGTCCGACCTGAAACGGATGGAAAAGATCATTTCAGAAAAGTTGCACTTTGAATTTAAAGCTACTACTGCCTTAACCTTCTTGCACTTGTACCATACTATTGTACTCTGTCATACCTCAGAAAGGTGAGTGAGCCCTTTTTGCCCCCCTGATTCCCTCCCAAAGGGTCACAGCGTTGGCTGTAGAGGAGGCAGCTCCTCAATTTTTTTACTTCCTGACAATGGAATGCTTGTTGATCCACCTTCTTCTCCTCTTGGGTGTCTCACAGGAAAGAAGTATTGAATCTGGACAAGTTGGAAGCACAGCTGAAAGCTTGCAACTGCCGTCTGGTCTTCTCTAAAGCAAAAGTAAGTAGAAGTAGTTTTCTTTAACTTCTGGGTAGGGTTATGATTCTCTTTATATTGAGTGCTGTTTCCTTGTCCTTTTAGCCATCTGTCTTGGCCTTGTGCCTTCTCACTCTGGAAGTTCAGATGTTGAAATCCGTTGAGCTGCTGGAGATCCTTCTGCGTGTTCAGAAGCATTCAAAGGTAAATATTGTCAGTGGATTGTTTGTCCAGTTGCTGAGGCTGACACTGTTAGTGATGGAAGATGTTACATTTAAGGGACCCCTTAGCTGGGTCCCTGAGTATGTTTTTAGAGGCTCAGTTTGGCATCAGCTGAAGGAAGCAATTAAAAAACGTGTAAAATCAGGAGAACTGCTGAGCTGGTGCCCGTGCAGTGCACGCTTTAACAGGCAGCTGATTGAACTTGTGCAGCTCTGGCTGTGTGTTCTGGAGAAACTTCCAGTCTGTTCGTGGGACTGCTCGGCTGGTTATTCTTTTTTTTTTTTTCCTGAATAACTGGACCCAAGGAAACAGCATGGAGCTGTGTCAGGGGAGGTTTAGGATGGATATTAGGGAAAGGTTCTTCACCCAGAGGGTGGCCAGGTGTGAAAGACAGCGATTGTACAACCCCAGTTTCTTGAGGGGTGAAAGTAGTTCCTTAAAGGACAGTATTATTCTGTTTTAAAAAGGAATTTTAAATTTTTTCATTCCATTTGAAAATGGAATAACCTTTGTTTCATTTATCCTCGGGAAGTGATAATGAAAACGTTAACAACTTGACAGGCAAACTTGTCAACTCAGACTTGAACATGGCCTTGTCTGGGAGGTGTGTAGGAGTTGGTGGGAGTTCACCTTCAAAAGCAACTTTGCCAAAGGTATCACGGTCATGACTCACTTCTCTCTTGAGTGATGTTTTTTCCAGGGGGCTGAGATGGAGGGGTTATCTTTAGAGCCCGTGTGGAACAGACTAAATAAGTTCTTTGGGCTTTGTTTCTTTTCAGATAAGTGACGGTGACCTACTTTACTGGAGGGAGCTGGTCTCGAAATGCCTGGCAGAGTATTCCTCCCCTGAGTGCTGCAAGCCTGACCACAAGAAGCTGGTTTGGATTGTTTCCAGACGAACAGCCCAGAACCTCCAGAACAGCTACTACAGCGTTCCCGAGTTGCCAACGATTCCGGAGGGGGGATGTTTCAACGGGAGCGAGAGGTCGGTAAAACTGCCACCACCTGGTTCATTTGTTGGGAATTCTCCTTTTCCTGTAGTGTTCATGGCAGCTCCCTGTCACTAGGCTTTGTTAAAATGACCTTTCCCACTGTTCCTTCCAGTGAAGACTCCTGTGAAGACATGAGCAGCGGAGAGGAAAGCCTGAGCAGTTCTCCTCCCAGTGACCTGGAAGGCACCTTCTTCTTTGAACTCAAACCCAAACCCAAGTGGCCAACTCTCAGCTGTGGGTCTTAGCATTACATCTGGACTGTATTAGGTTGAGATCTCTAATGCACCATAGAGTCTTTTGGCAATAATAAATAAGGTGGTAATCCGTAAACCGTATTAAGGCAAAGACTTGCTGTGGTATATCAGTGCTTTGAATGCCTGCCTTGATTTTTCTTGTTGTTGTAATTTTAAGGAATTAAAAACAAAACACTTTCAGGTCCCCAGATCAGCAAAAAAGAAAGTTCTTGTATAGCTCTGTTGTCAGCAGCCATGAATGTAGCCCTGTACCTGGTGGTCCAAACCCCTCAGCAGCTCAACACCTGAGCTGATTTCAGGGTCTTGACTGAGAAGCATGGACCAAGAGTGAGAGGCTTTCCTGGAATTTAAATGTGCTCCATGGGGACAGTCAAGCATGGGATTGGCCCAGGAGGAGCTGTGCAGTCCTTGTCCTGGGATGTTTTGGGTTTCAGCATGACAAACACCCGGGCTTGGCTTGAATTCAGCTTTGACCCTGCTTTGAGCAGGAGGTTGGCCTGGAGCCCCTCTGGAGGGCAGCTCCACTCCCTGCTGCGGTGGGATTAGATCCAGCAGGCTGAGTAGGTTGTGTGGAATGGTGTGTGGACGTAGTGCCAGGCTGGAATGATTTACTCTCCGATGGGCCAAACACAAACTGCTTTTCCTTTTCAGCAGGGTCTTGAGTTGTGTACTCCAAGTAGCAATTTTTTGAAGCTTGGCTTTTATTAACTTCAGGGATCCCTATTTCACACCAGGAGTGTGTGTGGTCAGCAGGAGTTTTCTAGTCAATCTAGTTTTCACTGAGACAGTACAAAGTGCGTGGCCAGGAGTAATTTCATGTTTCCTTTAATACGGCTGTTTTTACCCCGAAATCCACCTTGTATACTTCCGTGTCTTTCCAATCCTAACATGTCAATCCATGCTATTAGCTTAGACTTCTTAACATGGTAAACCCTGCTAAGTCTACATTCCTTTGAATATTTAACCCCTGTAGTTGTTTTTCAGTATATTCATGTTATTGATTGAGTCATAATCAGACTTGTTTGCATGCTGATGTGAAGCAGTTAGTGCAGGAGAAGTTGGTATTATGCAGTAATATCAGGTAAATGTGACGGTGAAGTAGTTGATGTAACGGTTTTTCCTCTGAACTGTGTTATCAAAGCACAAATTGAAGTATGATGGTGTCTCTCCGTGGTGAGAACACAGCTAAAGCAGATTAAACGAGCTCAGAATCACGGTGTGAGGTTGTGGTGGTGCCAAAGTAGAAATGAAGGAGCAAACAAGCTTAAAAGCTGTTCCGTAGGTGCAAGCGTTGCTTTAGGAAGGTAAGAGTGATGCTGTTCAAGTCCATAACTGTTATGTGATTTCAGTTTTCTAAAAACACACAAAAAAAAAAAGTTTACAAAAAATGTATATGAAAATGTAAATTAAAAAAATGTACAGAAAAAAAAAAATTTAAAATTAAAAAACCGAGCAGAAAATACTGTATTTTTTTACATTGTATGTAACTTTTTGTAGGTCTGTGGCATGTAGATAGTAATTTATTGTGTACTCTGTATGATACAAATACTGTACCTCTGAAGACTTCTTGCTGCAAGTCTCTGCTCCCTTCAGGAGTCCTTGGGTGAGGAACCTACTGAGTCTTGTTTCAGTTGACAACAAAAATAAACCAAGTGCTGTATTTGTTAACTGCTGGGAGTGGTGGTCGGTCACTTTTTTTCCCCACTGCACAGGGTGTTATGATCCTGCAGCTGGATTCCAGGAGTGCTGGTGAGCAGCTGGAAAGAAAAGGGAGAGACTGCAGTACCGGATGGGAATCGCCTGTGCCAGGGGAGCCCGTCTGCCAAGGGAAATCCTGCCCTGGATGTTTCTTCATGGCCTTCATAGCTACTACTTTTATTTATTTTTTTTTTTAAACACAGGAACACACTACAGGAGTTCTCACTTCCCACGTGGAACAGGTGAGGGATGGACACTTGGCACGGGGAGCTGCGTGTGAAAGCCCCTTCTGGCTAATAAAGAACTGAGAGCTGATCTCAGAATGGAACTGTGCCTCCTGCCACTGCTTGCTCCCAAGTTTTCAGAGCGCCGGTTGCTTGCTGTCTGGTGTTCTGGCTGCTTTGAACATGAAAAGAGATGTTCAGCTTCCACTTCAAAGGTGCCCACTTGGGTCACCTCAGTGCAGCCTCGCTCGGGAGCCGGCAGGAACGTGCGTGTGGCGTAGGTGGGCTCGAGGAAGGTAGGAAGCCGTGGGCAATATCCCTGGGTTTACACAGCTTGGGAGATTTACTGAAGCTCGAGGTGTGCCATTCAGCCCCTTTTAAGTTCGTCCTGGCTTGGAAGAGCGTTGTCAGGCTCACTTCTGTGGTGATAATTCAGGTTTCGTAATGTGGTTTGATAATTTAGGCTCCACTTTGATTTTGCCGGGTCAGGTGGCTGCGGATCCCTCCGAGGGGGTTTGCCTGGCTCCCTTCAAAGAACGGGAATTTTGGGGGTTGTTTTGCCTGTTTTTTAATGGCAGAGGAGTGCACGGCTTTAAATGCTGTTTGGGGCTTGCTGGTACCACGTGGTGGGGCTTGGAAGGCTTGCAGGCTCCAGGGTAGGAATACGTGCTCGTTTTCATAACTGAGGTGGGAGGGGGCTGAGAGGGAATGCTTGTGTGGGGAAGCCATCCCCTGGGACAGCTCCCAGCTGCATCCTGGTTTTCTGGGATGTGATTCCCTGTGCTTCCAAACCTACTGGAAGTGTAATGCTGAAGGTTCACATGGGTTTCTGCTCTCCTGTGGCTGGACTGGGCCACAAGGGATCAGTCGTGGAGCCATTTCTGTTCCCAGTGAGTTGTCATTCCATAATTAAATAATGATAATGGCCTTTTAAACAGGGAGCTTGACTTCCCCACTGCTTGACGACATATAACAAGTGACACGGAGCAATAAACCATTCAGAATAAATCAGTCAGTGTGTTCAGACCCTGGTCCTTAACAGCTCCCCCTTTTCCTCTGATGGAATAAGAAGGATGTTCCTGTCAGAGCTTGGAGCACTCTGTGCTTGACTGTAGCGTGAAAGGCTGAAACACAGAGTAAAGGGAACAGCTGATCTGAACATCAGCGCTGCCTCACGATCTCGGGCCATTCCTGTGCTTGCACTAACAGGGGGATGAGTTATTCTTATGATCCCACGTGGCTCTCAGGCCTTTGAAGCCCAACAAAATGTGAGTCAGTAAATTCTCAGTGGACAATGAGAATTATTTATTTTAAAGTGTGGTGCAGCTGTGGAGCGTCACACGTTACCGTGCTTCGTGGCCTGAGCCCGTGTCTGCTTTTAGTAGTGCACCTACTAAAAGGAGAAAGTTGCCATAACAACTGAATGAAATCAATTAGAGTAATAAGCAATTAAAATCTCATCCTTAGTGTTGCATAAACATAGCATTTTGCTCATGAATTATTACTAATCTTGCCTCTAGACCTGTACGTTCTGGTTCTGATTTGCAATCTGAACCATTTTTGAATTAATGAAGCATTTAATTTCTCCTTCAAAGAGTGCTGGTGGGGTTTTCTTTGGCTGTAGCAAGTACATCTTCATCAGGGATGTGAGCACTACTAAACATCTCAATGAAGGAAACACTTGTGATGGGATTTCCAGAGCGCTTGGCTCTGGCTTCCTTCCCACCCAGTGAAGTCAAGGATTAGTGTGTGGTGAGAAATTCTGTCCTGGGCCTAGAAAGGCAAATGCAACTCCTTCCTCTGTCACACGCTTCCTCCCTGACCTCCTGTGTGTTCCTGAACCTCTGGCTTCCTCTGCTCCCCCTGGGCAGAACAAAGCCAGGAATAGCTCCTTGCTGAAGTTCTCGGTTGTCAAGGATAAATCAGCTGAACCCTTGTGGAAAGGTGGGATGTGCGAGGAACCAGGGCTTGCAGACTGATTTCTGCAGGAAGCAGCTGAAGGCTTGACTGTTAAATAAACTCCTATTTACACTGTGCCGCCTGTGCTGATGTACATTTTAATCGGGGTTTATCTGAAAGGTTTTCAGTACTGCCACAGTTGTTGGAAGAGACTTGGTGTAATGGAGAATTTACCAACTCTCCTGCTGCTAAAAAAACCTGTATTTAATGGGTTTTTCCCACAGTTGCCATGGAAGCCTGCCTTTGGAATGCCCCTGGGGTTCACCTCTTTAACAAAAGGTCCACCTGAAGTCACAGGGCTGGACTCTTTCTATATCGCTTTGGGTCCTCGGAGGGTTAAAGCCATGCTGGCTCTGGTCAGAAATCATTTTCTGCTTCACTGGGGTCAAAGCTTTTATGTTATTGCCTCCTTTAGATCCTTCCAGGCCCATCTCTCAGACTCTGCACCCTGTGGGGCCCGTCAGCCAGCGCTGGCCATTGCTCGATATTGTTGCTCTGTGATCAAGTTTATATCTCCTGGCATCACTTCTTGAGCTGGGAGCAGGGAGTGACTCAGATTTTAGTAAGCAAGAGTACATGACAGTGCCCTGTCATCCCTCAAAGGATGTACAAGAGGCACATAAAAGGCTCCGTGGAATGCCTTGCTCCTCGGGGGTGTTCGGTCGGCAGCCCTGCAGGTCAAAGTCCTTTTTTGGGTAGCTGACATCAGCACACGCCCCTCTGTCCTTCCCCTTGCCCGTGCCTCAAACACAACCTCAGGAGGCAGAGGTGATCTAGGGAGGCAACTTGGATGCCAAACTGGAGCAGCATTTTTCCTGCTGTGTGCAGAGAGGGTGATTTTTCCATCTGCCTCTGCTTTCCGAAGGAGTCGGGGAGATTTATGAGCTCCGAAACTCAGGTCTTGTACATCCTTAGGGTTATCCCAGAGGGAAGACTTTGGATGTAAAAGATCTAATCAACACCTGAGTTTTGCAAATGTTTGCTTGAGCAAGTTCTTATCTCTAGTAACAGGTTTTTGGAAACAAGAAGGCAAAGTTTTACTGTGGGCTAAAAGCGAATCAAGTCGGAATGCTCCTGAACTTCAGGAAGTCTGAAATTCAAATCCACACTTGGATCCTGGGCTAGTCTCCTAATTTCCATTTCAGAAGTGGAAATACCCTGCAGTAGATTGAGCCAGGAGTAAGTGGCCAGACCTTGTGTCTTAACAGCAAGTTGTGAGCAGACAGATAGAAAGAAGAATCACAAAGTGTAAGATGGAGAGTCTCTGACCGTTTTATCTTTAACCACAAGCAATTTTAAAGCTCACTAATGATGCTGCTTGTACGTGCAGGGAGGAGGATCCAGGCTGGGGCACAATTTCCAGGGAATGAGGGTTTAGGAGAACTCATTTCCCTGCCCCACCAAGGCCAGAGAAAAGAAGTCAGACTCTGTGGATATGATTTTCTCATTAAAGGCCTGAAACTAAATTCCAAACTCATTTGGAAAGGTATCTAAGTGTGCTGACTTATTCGAACCTCGTGATAGCATTTCCATGCCCTTCTGGGTAAGAACACAGGACAATTATTATCCCTGCAAGTGCTTTGAAACTCTCAAAATGCCTGAAGTGCCTTACAAAGATCACAGATATGCTATGAAATATAAAGGGGCTGTGGCTGTCTGTTATTTTTTAATGGAGGGGGACGATAGGTGTGGGTGGGAACGTAGAGAGGCAAGAGAAAGGTTAGAGGAAATGGGGGGGGGGTTGTGTGGAATTCATGGGAATTGGCAGGGAAATGCTCTCATGTAGAGAAGAAATTGCAGGAAGACAGTCTATGTGGAGAGAAAGGGTTTTGCAGTGGACTGGATGGAAATCAGCCTCTTCCTGGGGTTCTGCTTCAGCAGCACCAGCAGAAAGGAAACTTCCACAGGTGGAAACAACCTGCAAACAAGGAGATCGGGGTGGGGGTAAGAAAAGAACCTCCCAGATGGATAAATCGTCCAGGACAGAGGTTTTCAAGTGCAGCCTGCAGGGTGCTCGAGGCTTGACAAGCCTCTACGTGCAGCCTGTCAGGGGATTGTTTTAAACCATTAACTGGGGTATTTATTGCACTGTGGACGAAGGATACGTGACCTGAGTCTGGCAGCCCCCCTGTTGGAGAGGGAGCCTGTGAGCAGGGCTAATCCTGTAGGAGGGCTTTCCCTAGCAAGATCTTGCTACAGCTTTCTTTAGGTGTGAATAAGGGCAGTTTGAATTTTTTCATCGCCTTCTGTCGGTTTTAATCAGTTTTCTGAACTCCTATCTCTGTTTCTCACTGCATCTGTCCCAGGTAACCTGCCACAAAGCAGCTGGAATAGTCAGAAACTACCCTGCATCCTCTTCATCATGGTTAGGGAAAAACAAGCTCAGCCCTGCATCTGTGTGGAAATACGAACGAGCAGGAAAAGTCTGGCTGCAGAGCCCCTCCAGCCCTCAGGGCTGTGTAAAATGGGTCACTGGAAGTGTGTAAGCAGAATGAAAGGAGAGAGGAGAGCCTGTTAATCCTGGATTTTTTGGCTCCTTGGGCACAAATTTAATGTTAAGCTACTTTCTGACTTGAGGGATTGGCACGTGCTAAAAAGCTTTGCTGCAAAGTGGGGAGAGAGCAGCAGGACACGAATGACAGGGAACTCCTGTGCCTGTGCAAGCAGCAGTGATTTGGTGATTTTACTAAGACATGGCAGAAGCCTTTAGGAAAGGACTCAGAGGGTAAAATGTCATTAATTTCTCTTCTTCCCATCTCCCCCTGCTGCCCGTCACGAGGCAGCTGA